TTGCAGATGGGAAAGGTTGATATGCTGTTATATTGGTATGCTTTTTGAGCTCGGCAAACCCTGTTCTCCACTCTGTGGCAGTGCTTTGCATGCCTGCATGACGCTACAAATGCACATCAGATCAATGCTGCACTGAAACATTGCACAATGTTCTGTGGTGTTGCTGTTCATTCTTGTGCTTGTGCGTGTGCTTGTGCGTGTGCTTGTGCGTGTGCTTGTGCGTGTGCTTGTGCGTGTGCTTGTGCGTGTGCTTGTGCGTGTGCTTGTGCGTGTGCTTGTGCGTGTGCTTGTGCGTGTGCTTGTGCGTGTGCTTGTGCGTGTGCTAGTGCGTGTGCTTGTGCGTGTGCTTGTGCCTGTGCGTGTGCTTGTGCGTGTGTGTGTGTGTGTGTGTGTGTGTGTGTGTGCGCGTGTGCGTGTGCTTGTGCGTGTGCTTGTGCGCGTGCTTGTGTGCGGGCTTGTGCGTGTGCTTGTGCGTGTGCTTGTGCGTGTTCTTGTGCGTATGCTTGTGCGTGTGCTTGTGCGTGTGCGCGTGTGCTTGTGGTGCGTTCGCTTGTGCGTGTGCTTGTGCGTGCGCTTGTGCGCGTGCTTGTGTGCGTGCTTGTGCGTGTGCTTGTGCGTGTGCTAGTGCGTGTGCTTGTGCGTGTGCTTGTGTGTGTGCTTGTTCGTGTGCTTGTGCGTGTGCTTGCGCGTGTGCTTTCGCGAGTGCTTATGCGTGTGCTTGTGCGTGCGCTTGTGCGTGTGCTTGCGCGTGCGCTTGTGCGCGTGCTTGTGCGCGTGCTTGTGCGTGTGCTTGTGCGCGTGCTTGGGTGGGAGTGTGCTAGTGCGTTGTTCTTGGCGGGATTGTAGGTGCTTGTGCGTGTGCTTGTGCGTGTGCTTGTGCGTGTGCTATGCGCTGCTTGTGCGTGTGCTTGTGCGCCTGTGTGCGCGTGCTTGTGCGCGTGCTTGTGCGCGTGTGTGTGCGTGCTGTGTTGTGCGCTGCGCGTGTGCGTGCGTGCTTGTGCGTGTGCTGCGCGTGTGCTAGTGCATGTGCTTGTGCGTGTGCTTGTGCTTGGATTGTGCTTGTGTGTGTGTGTGTGTGCGCGTGTGCGTGTGCTTGTGCGTGTGCTTGTGCGCGTGCTTGTGTGCGGGCTTGTGCGTGTGCTTGTGCGTGTGCTTGTGCGTGTTCTTGTGCGTATGCTTGTGCGTGTGCTTGTGCGTGTGCTTGTGCGTGTGCTTGTGCGTGTGCTTTCGCGAGTGCTTGTGCGTGTGCTTGTGGTGCGTGCGCTTGTGCGTGTGCTTGTGCACGTGCTTGTTCGCGTGCTTGTGCGCGTGCTTGTGCGCGTGCTTGTGCGTGTGCTTGTGCGCGTGCTTGTGCTCGTGCGTGTGCGTGTGCCTGTGCGCGTGCTTGTGCGCGTGCTTGTGCGCGTGCTTGTGCATGTGCTAGTGCGTGTGCTTGTGCGTGCGCTTGTGCGCGTGCTTGTGCGTGCGCTTGTGCGTGTGCTTGTGCGTGTGCTTGTGCGTGCGAGTGCGTGCGCGCGCGCGCGCGCGGATGTGTGTGTGTGTGTACGTGTGTACGCGCGCTTGTGTGTTTGTGTGTGTGTGTGTGCACACCTCTTTTGTAGGGTACATTCTTTCCTTGTTGGGTGCAGGCGGTGCAGGGGCAGTGGCCCACTCAAGACAAACGGAGGTTGTCCAGGCTCATCATCTGCACGTACCTGCAGCAGACTGGACTGCGCACCAACTTCAACTTGGGGCCATCTTACCGTTTCACAAAACAGGTTTTCAGGCAGTGCTCGAGCGCATCAATTGCAAGGCCTGCTGGCATCCCGCTCAGGAGACGTATCATACCGCAACGACTTTGGATACTCTGAATCTTTCACACCGATCGCGTTGTCTGGTAGGTTTCAGTGAAAAGACACAAGTGAATCCAACTCAACAGGAGTATGTTTCATGAAAACCACTCAAGCAATGGGCCCATGGGCATGGAAACGCCATGTGTCGAGCATCTCTTTTGCAGACTGGAACAGGTTCATCTCACAACAAAAGCTACGTGCTCCTGGTTCGCGCCTACCCCTCTCCACGGCCAACATTCGGTAGGTTAGTTCAGTTTCTCAAGGTTCGTTATACCAGGACGAGACCATGCAGCTGATGAACTGCACCTTTTTTGTCCAAGACTTGAATGGTAAGTGTTGCATGATGCGTTCGACGACCTTCTCTTGCGACACCTTTGGTTGCCACGATGTTTCTGCAACACTTGTCGCAACAAGTGTGACTGCAACGCTACACATGGGGCAAATAGAAGAATGCTGACGTGCCGATTTCGCGCATTCTTTTCGAGAAGAAGAAGGAAAAACTTCCCTGTGGAAGGACCCACCATTTCATGCCAGTGCTGCATTTTCGCGGCATTGTTTCGTTCTGCAGCGGATGACATTCACCCAGCCCAGTACAGTCAAGATTCAGAAGCAGAATACTGTGTGCGAGAGTGCGTGCGTGCGTGCGTGCGTGCGTGCGTGGGTGGGTGGGTGGGTGGGTGGGTGGGTGGGTGCGTGGGTGGGTGGGTGGGTGGGTGGGTGGGTGGGTGGGTGTGTGTGTGTGTGTGTGTGTGTGTGTGTGAGTGTGTGTGTGTGTGTGTGTGCTTGTGTGTGTGTGGGCGCGCGCGCGCCCTGCCGGGGGGGGAGGGTGCGTGCGAGGATGTGCGAGGGTACTCCTTTGAGAGGACTTCAGGGCAGGGGGTGGTCACACGACAGGTGTGAAAGTTTGGGCGGATAGGAAGGAGCTGGCTTTTGATCCAGGCACCGAACCTGATGGTTTAGCGGCCAGAAGTCTCGACGATGTAGAGCCTGCACCCTGAGGTGACGAACTATGGGCTGGTTGGCGTCGAGCCGCCTTTCGCTCCAGGCTGCAGCAGCTACATGGCCACTGACTTCATGCAGGCCTGGTGCTCGAGTCAAAGACAAGTCCAAGATGGCTTTTGGCAACAATTCCCTGTGAGCCCGGCTCCCATTTCTTCAATGACCCCAAGACCAGCGGGTCCAGGAATTCCAGGAATTCCAGCACTCAGTGCGGGCAGCCATGGGCACCCCGAGATGTGTCATCGCCCATGTGTCTACATGATGAAGTCGGGCCATTGTCACCTTGGTTCGTTCTGCGACCACTGCCATTTGCCTCATGCGGGTCCCTCTCTTCAAAAGTTGGACAAAAAGCAGCGCATCAAGTTGAAGCAGATGCGCCGGGAGGACGTTATGGCCTTGCTCTTACCTCACATCCGCCATCGCGCAGCTGCAAGCGGCCTCGCTTTCCAAACTCGAGAGCTCATGCAGCTCTTAGAGGAGGAGAAGGAGAAGTCGAGGTCGTCTGATTCGGATGAAGAGGGTTCACAGCTCCTTCCTCGTGAAATTGACCGATTCAATCACGTGTTGTCTCGGTTGCCGTTCTCGGCTTTGGCGGCTCGGCTGGCATCCGGGAGTTCATCGAGCCCTAGAGGCCCTAGAGGCCGTAGAGGCCCTGGAGGCCTGGAGGCCCTGGAAGCCCTAGAATCTGGGATTTGTCACTGCGAGCTCAGGTGAAAATCTTTCCGCACAGTTGCCCGGACAAGGTTATCGAGCTATTCGAGAGGCGCGCCTTGCCTTCAGGGCCGGGTTTCTGAGAAAAAGACAGAGAAGTCAAGCCCAACAGCACATAAATGAACTCTGGCCCCTTGAGAAGGTTGCGCTTTGTGCAGTCCAATGGTGGCCAACCGGTTGCCATTGCGAGCTCAGGTGGGGGTCTGCGTGTGCGATTGTAGGGCGGAAATAGGGCAGACGGCACCTTGCAGTTTACAGTTTCAACTCCGACTTTTTCAAGACGGCGTTCCCGCCTGCGTGATCAGCTGTGGCATGGTGCGGCTAGCACCTTTAGAGGCGTCCTGCCTCTGGAAGCTTGTGTTTTTGGAGTGCGGGTGCACGGTGATGCTGTTGTCCGCATTCCATCTGAAAAAAAACATCGACGGATGAACGAGCGGCTGTGATGCCACAATGAGGTGGAAGCCGAACCCTAGACCATGATGCCGCAGTCGTAAGTACCTTTATGTACGGAGTTCTCTGCTGGCTCGACTTAAATGTAGCTTGATGATCATATACCCAATCTTCCCGAACGCATTTAGAAGAAAGGCCTAATGCTTCAGCAATGAATAAGCTATTCCAGGCCCAACGTTCTTTTCAACAGGACTTTGCAACGTACAGCGCCTGTAATTGTGGTAAGCGCTCGCTGTTCAACTCTTGGTGTCCTCGGGGACAACACCAGTCTCCAGCCTTCCCTGCTTGGCGCCTCATCTTAGCAGGCAAGAAGAAGCAGCAGAGATAGTTTAGGCTGTAAACGCTGCTTCCAGCAACAGCGATGTCAGGACCAGACTCAGCAATGCGATGTTCTGAAGTTTGTGCTGCCACGAACCGACATCATTGTAGCATCCACGGGAGAGCAAATGGAGGGATTTTGAAAAAGCAGCTCTTACAACACGGTCAGGTGAATTCACAAGCTGACCCACTTCAGGTCATTTATCTGTGCATCCGAATCGTTCTCTGCATCCGTGTCTGCATCCAACGTAGTATTTCGTTAAGTAACAGCACTAGCGCTGAAACCTCGAGCTCCGAGATTGTCAACAGCATGACAATAACAGGAGTTGTATTGACATGAGGTGCAACAAGGCTGATTTATGTGCACAGCCATTTTGTTAAGAGTCCACATCGAAGCATAAGCGCCCACTAACATTCGTGCTCTTGCCGTGTATCATCCAACATGAAGCGATTGCACAGAATGCTAGACTGCACTTGATGTACCCCGCCAAACGTATGCCGGCTTCACCATCCATCTCAAAATAGTTTTCCCGGCTCTTGCGGGCTGAACGGCTAGCACTCGTTCTCGTATGCCCTACATTTTCCTTCTGTGGTTCAAGAATCGTGTCAGCACCCGTCCTCTACCAGCAGCGTACAGAAAGCTTAGTCGTAGAACTTGGCCAGAGGATGCCAGAGGATAGTTTTTCGGATGAAGCAGATGAGCAGCTGTTATAAAATCAGCCAATGGTTTTTTGGATTGCTCCGCTTTGCCCAAACTAATGCCAGCCGCCTTGGACATCTGAGTGTCTTTCTGGTGGCTCAGTCTCTGTGAAGTGGGGTTAGCCATACTATGCTGCCGTGACTCAGCGGATAAATGCCAGCAAAACTTTTCGGGCGGGACTTTTCTATATCCACTGAGGGGCGTTCTAGACCATAGATGTGGCAGCTGGTTCGCAGGGAAGACAACTACGTGATCTTGCAGTGTTCGAAATCAAGAAGTCCCTCAACTGGGACAACCCACGAATGCTCAAAGTAGCGTTGGTATACGCCAGCTTGAATTAAGGCAAAAGAACGGTGGAGTTGTCCTTGTTCTGGGTTCCATGCAATATCAATGCATGCTGCTCCCACGATGCAGGCCTGAAGCGACATGACTTGTAGCAGGCAACTCTGTATTGCTGCATTTACATTGACGACTTCAAGTGTACCAAGTATAATTTCCCCGTGTGCTCGTAGATAAGCGACAAATGCGACCGCGACTCGTGAGTATTTAGTGCTGATGTGCTCTTTCGACTTCTGTCAGTATCTTTGAGATGGCATTGGGCTGCCAAGTTCTGAATGTTACAGAGAAAGAGAGAGAAAGAGAGAGACAGAGAGAGCAGAGTTGCTGCGAGTGTTCCTCATCTTTCTGCGACTAAACAGAGATGTAGACAGACATTGCAGCTGCATCAGAACGTTAGTATGGTACTGTGAGATTGCTTGCAACGCGCTAGCTTCAGTGGGCGTTGAAGCTGTCGTGGCGGATCTGGAGACGAACGCTACAGACTTGCTTCAGCTCAAGCAGAGGTACTTTTCAAGCTGGTCAGATCGCATAAAGTGAAAGCTGCAAGTTATGCTGGAGGACTTCTTCTGTAGACTGCAGGGGACAGTTTAAGGCCTGCGTCCAACCGTGGATTGCGATCTTGACCAATGCCCTGCATTCCTGCATCGTTCGGACACCACCCGTTTCACAGCAGTGTGCCAGGCCGGAAATGCTCAGTCTCTTCAGCTCTTACGGCTGTTTATGGCCACCGGTTCTGAAGTACTATCGCAGCGTGGACAAACGGATCAAGACCAGGAACAACTGTGTGTGGAATCTTAAGCAGGGCAGGTTCTTGGTCAAGCTGCACAGGCTTCAGCATTCGTGCGAAGTCCGAAAGTCTCCAGCTTCTCTGAGGCGGCGAGCCTCAGCACCAGGGTTTTCGACCTTGCCTTGGGCGGTCTCCGCAGCACTAGCAGGACACAGGGGCGCTTGGGTTGTTGAGTCAGGGAGTACAAACTGATTCGGCAGAACCGAAACTATGCGCTCCCCGAAAGCACGATATCAGCAGGTGCGATGGGCATCAAGACCGTATTTGGGTATTTTGCTCGCAGTCAACAAGAAGAGGGGAGCCAGACTGGCGGTGCTCTGCATCGCCAGTAGGGCGTAATGGTTGGAAGGTTCTCATGAGTACGGGATCTTTGCATCCTGCCCATCCTGAGGATACGGGACGCATCTGCCTGGATGTTGGCCAAATTCTTCGTTCGGGGCGATGTGAGTGACTCTGGTGTGCTGCAGTGGGGCACTCGGCCTTTTGTGAGGCACTGGGGCACACTCACACTACTAGCATTCCAAGTTCCCTGCCGTAACGCCGCAACGCCTTTTATTGGACACCGGGACTTCTGGCCAACTGACTGAACGAGGTGCATCGGACAACATGTATAGGGCTGCACTACTCAGCCGGTTTTCTATTGGCTGGGCGAGTCATAGGCCATCGGTATCGATACCATACAATCATCGGCATTCTGGCATTTTGCCCACATACTTCTGCGGGACCCCACATCTGAGGTCCTTCATAACTTGGACAGGACACGTCTGGCCAGTGACCGATGAGCAGTGCCCTCGGTGTGGGTGGGGAATGTTGGCGAGGCTGCACTTGCATGGCTATCAGAGCTTGTTCCCGAGCTGCCAACCTCGACATACTGAAGCCTGAAGGGGGGTGAGGACTGCATAAAAGTCTCTACTCAGCTTTGTTGAGCTGTCCCGGCCCAGACTCTCCAGACGCCTCCAGCCGCGCAACCAAGAATCCAAAACCCACTGCCAGACATGCTACCGGTCCAAAAGCCTTGACGCCATGAGACGCCCCAAGCTTCATGATCTCGACAGGGCTGCTGCTGCCCAAGGCGGACGGGCTTTGGGCGACCTTGAGTCATCCCTTGGTTCTCGCCACAACAACTTTCTGAAGGTCCTTCTACAGCTTCTGCAGTGGTTGACCCAGACACGGCGGCGGCAGCTGTTGCTCTTCTTGTCGGCTGCGGTGCTGCTCGGCCTTTGTGGCGCAGTCTTTGCGCTTCGCAAAGATTTACTTGTTTTTTGTTTTTTGGGCCGGGGGGGGGGGTCAGGGGGTTCAAAGCCAAATCTAAGTCGGGGCTTTCCGCAAGTTCTGTGACGACCCTGAGGCTGATTGGGAGGCAATTCTTCCAGCAGCGGGTGCAGGACCTGAAGCCTTCGCTTCTGGTGCCAAGGGCACAGCGGCGGGGAGAAGGCTGACCCAGTGGCAACGAGGGGCCCTAGCCATGTTCTTATGGCTGTGTAATGATGTAGTTTAGGCTGCAAGCTGCAGAGTTCTCTGTGCAGGCAAGAAGGCGTCCGAGAGAGGAAAGAAGGATGCTCCTTAGCTTTCATCAATGGCATTATAGGCACTTAGGCTGTGCTCCGCCGAAGTCACATCTTACCAAAGACAGTGCGGATATTCGCAAAGCTCTTGCGTTCTGCCTTGACTAGGTTCCATAGAATCCACGTGGGCATAGAGTGGCTACAGTCGACCTGTAGCTGAAGACGTGCCAAGGCATCCACAGAGGGCAATGTTGAGCTTGGGCATGCCTTCTGACCCCCAGCTGCACATCGCTGTGGACTCTGCGCCAACATGTACCAAGTACATCCAAGTACCAAGCATCTCTTGTACTCTTCTCCCACAGCCGTGGAATCATGTGGGATTCCTGTCCCCAAGCCCTGGCCCTTGCGGCTCAAGCCATCGAACACAAACTGCAACGTCCCAGGTGCCCTGTTCCAATCCGCCGGGGAGCGTCGTGGCCGAGGCACGAGCAAAGTCTGTGGGATACTGGATACTCATAACTTCTTTGTATGCCCTTGAGTGGTTGAGAGTGTCTTGCCCAGGCCCGCAGATCTCTGTGAAGACCCGCTCTGGCCGTGAGTGTGGCTCGGCGGCAGTCGTCAACTGTAGGCATTGGCCAAATCTGTTCACGCCCATCACAACCCGATGTGGCCAGGTGCCAGTTTGTTGGGAAGCGTAGTTTGCACGATATGCACGACGACGCATCGCCGTTTCAGACTTTGATTGTCCACAGCTTGTTTGTACAGCTTCGTGCCCTTTGGCACAGCAGCCGGCAGCTGAACTGTCACAAGAGTTGCTGGAATGGCAACGCAGTTAATGTACAGCCCTTGCAAGAACCTTGGGCATCCTTCTCTAGTGACTCTAGTCACATCCTCCCCAAGCAACCATTGGCAGCCTCTGTCGCATTGGTAGCGCCTCATCCGCATTTCCAGTGCATCCCCTCCAGGCCACCTTCGCTGCTTCGCGGAGCAGCGCTTCGCACAGCTGCGTGCCGTGACTGGGGCACAAGAAGTCTTTTGAAGCCTCCATACCCTTTGCATACCCAGTAAAGCCCTTACAGTCAGTTAGCATTCATGCTAATGCGCCCGCCTAGCGCTGCCGCAGGTTTAGAGTTTCAGGTTTAGGGCTGGGCTGGGCCCAGAAAGTTCCCAAATTTGCTCCTACAGGGGCTTTTGGGGCTCTTCATGGACCCATGACCAGCCCTTACCTCAGGGTCCAGCAGCTCCCTGCACCTCAATCCCCCTCAATTTTGGGTGTCTGGTGGTACCTGTACAGGTCCCGAGGGCAAGAGTCACCCGCCACAGTATTCTTGCATGTTTTTGCCGAAGTGGCCTGCGCATGACCACATAAGCAGCAGAAATTCAGCTGGGTACTTGCTGGAACCTGCCAACAGACAGAGTACCCCGAAGTCGGTGATTGTCTTGGGAGGCACCCAAGGCCACCTGGAGTGGCAATGGCAACTCCCATCCCGTCTTGGGACAATGGGGCTGCTGTCACAAAATTGCCGCAGAACCTGAAACATGGCGACAGAAAGGCCATAACGCTTGTCCAAATTCCTGGAAGCGCGGTCTTAGGAGAAGTTGAAGTCGACAAAAGCGGAGAGGCGGTGACAATCAGCGAGTTTCAAGACCTTTCGCGGGGCGAGGTCATGACCAGCATTCACAAAACGGCGGGTTTGGAAGGTCTGCAAAGATTCGGCAAAGCTCACATTCAAGCTGCCAACGGCTTGAGAGGATTGGGTGTGACATCTCTGTATTGTGCACATCTCCGGAGAGGTCAAGGAGACGTCGACCATGAAGGCCTAACCAAGGTTGTCGCCTGGGAAACCACGACAGGTGTTCAAACCTTTTAGGGGCTGAATCTGCAAACGCCCAGCTTTCGGAAGTGATTGAAGCAATGGAAGACATTTTTCACTGAGGACTGGGGCCTTTGCGAGGAGCGCTACTGGTCAAGCTTGGCCAACAGTGGTCTCCGCGGTGGTATCCAGGACCCGTTTCCTTTCCCAATTGAGAATGATCTGCATCAGCTGAGGCGAGAGGCTTCTTTAAGATCTCAGGGTACTCGTATGATACTGAACAGCTATTCGTGGACAGACGTCCACAGCAGGAGCCCAGCGGAAAGAGCGGGAGCTGCTTGGCGGCAGTACACAGCTTGTAGGTGTAGGGCAGTGCGGTCAGCTTGGTTTGAACAGTGGCCGCACATCTTGAGCTGCGTGGCAGGCCTTTTTTGGATCTCGGGCGATGGACTGCTGGTCTTGTAGCCGGCCCGAAATGGTCGGTTTATATTCGTTCATCTGACATCTCACACGGCGCGCGTTACAGCCCAACGTGTTGCCTTCTTTCGATGGCTTCCGTGGTCCGAACTTAGTAGAACCGCGGAAAGGAAGACGACGGAATCCGATGAGCTCCGCAAGCTGCTGCAGGGCCTCCCACGGTATGCGCCGTGTCCTTGTCATGAGAGTTGAAAGGACCAATTCGAGAAGTGCTCTTTGACCTATCAGACCAAGCGTGGACAGTCAAGATATACCCAAGGAGCAGCACTTTGCAACCTACAAGAACTCTCTTCTCAGTCGGTTCTTCGGGGCCTACGTGACCTGGCTTGCAGGTTTTGCATGGTTGAGAAGTTGAGTAGCGCCCCGGAGGATGCGCCCCGGAGGATGCGCCCCGTAGTTGCGTGACGCTACACTCGCAAGCAATCGAAGGAGCTTATACTGGACCGTCGCCGAGTTCGGTTGGTGGTGATGAACAACACGTGCCTTGTCGCAGCTTCACTTTACAGGGCAGTCTTTCAGTCTTTGAGCAGCACAGGTTTGCATGCGCCCTTCAGCCTCATGTAGTCTACGAGCCTTGGCAGCACAGCCTACTCTCCTTGCTGACAAAGATCAGAGAAGATTGTGCAGCACACGGCAAAGTCTGAGCAAAGCGGGATCATCTCTGAGGATCTCAAGGGCACAACGGAAGATCGGTGGGTCAATCCGCGACCGGGCACAGCTCTTTGGCTTCTGATGCAGCCATTTGCAGCCCGCAAATCGCACGGGTCAGGGAAAGAGAGATGAAAGATGAGTTGAGAGCGAGATCGCAGCGAGATTCGTGAGGTTCTGAAGGACTTGAACTTTGCGGACAAAACCATCGGCATTCCGGATGCAGGGCTGCATCTTCCTTCCCCCAATTCCACCTGCACTTTTTGTTGGCAAGAGCAGTATAGCCTGTATAGCTTCATAGGTTCAGTAGCAGTCTTCTCAACGAAGGACTTGAAACAGAAGGCTGCGCTGCTGCACATCCTGAAGAGAGACACCCAGTTCCTGCGGAACCAGCATGCCGCCTGGTGATGGTTAGAAGCCAGATTGTGCCGCACGCCCAGTACGAGTATCAGCAGGGCTTTTTTTGCCTGAGGTGATGGACTACTCTGTATGCCTTGGCGTGCACTACTGCGAGGAGTCTGCAGCTCCAGTGCCGAAGCTTTGACTGCTTTGAAGCTGCAATTACATGGTGGCATCCATGTTCGATCACTTCTGCATGATTTGCCCACCGCGGTGTTCTCCGATTGTTGTCAATGAGGCCATTGTTTTTCTTATTGCTGTTCATTCTTTTAAAAATCCGTTTCCAACCTCATGCCTCGTTTAGATCTTGTGCATCGTAGTCATGCAGCCCTGCGTAGCTAGCAGTGGGAGTTCTGTCAGGAGTCCGTGACGCCAGACATTCTGTCTCAAACTTGATTAGCATATGTGGGCTTCCGGAAAGGAGAATAGCTATCCGAACGCTGAGCTCATCACGCCCGAACCGGGTATCTCCTCCGTCCTCTGGCCTGAAGTTGGCAAGGTCCATCGTGATGTACTCATGCCAAGCTGGCCAGCATATGTGTGGTCCTACCTAAGCCAAGAGCGAACCAAAACATGAGCCAGAGACCTTCAAAGCCATATTCAGAATATTTCAGGATCACAACAGCCCTCCCAAGCACACCGCCTTATCTTCCACCGAGTCTCTGGCGGTCCTGCGCGGCTACGAGCCCAAGTACCAGTGCACGCTGGCGCCAGAGCTGCAGTACAGTTTAGTGCAGGGTGCGGGATTCGGGCCGAAATCAACAGAACATCTTAGATTACTTCATGTACTCTGGGGGCTTCCTTACGAAACGCTTCGCTTCGAGATAAATTGGCATTTTGTAGACTGTGAGGGGTGAGCCGTGTATTGACGTGAAACTTTATGAGCATGGTCATCTCTCGTCGAGAGCATGCAGATCCAAAGTATTGTCGCAGCAGTGACGAATGTGAAGTGGCAGAAATACACTTTCAGTGCAGGCTTGCGATCCCTGGGCACTCCGAGGTACGGAACCAGCCTTCGCAGAAGGTGGTTTTCTTCATCGGCATCATCGACACCGGGCTTGCCATGGAAGTGATGTTAGTTCCAGAGCTCCCTTGCGGATAGTCATTCAGAACGGCAGTGAAGTTGAGAGAGAGTCTTGACTCGGTTCCTCAGGACATCTTGCAGCAGTTCACCTGGATGAAGGCCTTGGCCCATACAGTGAAGCTTCTCGGCGTTGTGTCAGTGGCCACCGCGGCCTCACAAACCCCTAAAGCCCTAAAGTTTGAGAAGCCTTGCAGCATCTTGCAGCCCTCCGTTGAAGAGGTCACTCAGCCTTGGCTGGGTCCATGAGATCGACACAGCGCCACCGGCCTACTATGCACGGCGCTTCAAAACGCACCTCGACAGAGCTGGAGGGACGCTCATCCGGGTTTGTCGGTCTGTGACTCGTTGCCATGCTCAGACACGCTCAGATCTTTACGAATAAGTGCCCAGTTCAAGTTCAAACTACCAGCCGCCACAAATGCTGCAAGCTTGCTGTGGCGAGCCCAGGTCGTTTTGCGCGAGTCTCGGCCGGAATGGGTTGCTGGTGCCACTGAGGTCCAGCTTCGGGCTTTGGGCTTGAGGGCTGGCAGCGTGATGTTTCATTGAAACCCTGAAAAGCCCTGAACAAAAACCCTTCAAACCCGCGCTGTGTTGCCCCATGCTCCCCAGCCAAGGAAAGTGCAGACATTCCGGGAGCCCGAGGAGCATTGAAGTGCAGCCCTTCACTCGCTGACAAGACGGAAGGATGGGGGGGGGGACCTGGCCAGGATCGTGTTACGCGCTTCGTCCGACGCCTGCGCTTGGGCATCGAGAACGGCTGCTTTGACAAGCATGTGGAGCAAGACCATCCGCCTACTAGTGCAAGCGCCTCATTCCTCAAACTTTACCCTCCAAGCCCCCCCCCCCCCCCCCTCTCCCATGAAATAAGATCAGCGAAGCCAGAAGCAGAAGACAAACAGTTTGACGTTGCTACTTCACTCCACCGCTTCGCTGCCTTACAGAGTGCCGGTTTCAAGCTCGTTGCGTACTTCCACGTTCTGTAATTCGCAAACCTCAAGGCGAAAGGCCATTTATTTCCTGCCTGCCTGCCATCATACAAAGCATGAACCGCAATCTTCAAGTAGACAAAATCCATGACGGCCAGCCATGCAGCCATGTGTTATGTGCCACATTGTTCCACCGAACCCCGGCCTCTTCGCGCGATTCAGCCTGAGGCACAGTACATTGTCCCACGTTCCTCAGCCTTGAGCGGCCACGCCTGGAGACGGATGCCGTGCCTTATCCCAACACAAGTTAAGATTGTATCCTGCCCCCTGCCACAGTTCCCCTCATTTTTCAGAGTAATGTCAATAAATGACAATGTCCCCAGGAGTTCAGCGCCGACCCAACTGCTGATGTGACGCTGGACGAGGCTGTGGACTTTGCTGTGAGGCGCGCCAGCACGCTGAAAGTGAAACATTGAAGACATGGATATGTTAAAATCGAAAAGGAACATGGCTTCTCGCATCCGCGCTTGTTCTCCTGTCCGCTTGTTCTCCTTCTGCCCTTGAGACATTTTTGTGTTTCAGGCGTGGTGGGCAACTCCTGGTGGCCCGGCGTGGACTGCTCCGGAGCCGAACGGAAGAGGTGGAAGCCTTCCTGGACATGGATCGCCACGCGCTGATCTTTCAGGAGTGCGGCAGTACGGCAGAGTCTCTTCAACCCTCAACTTAAGTGTTCCAACACCATAGCTCATGACAGAGTCACGGCCGCTCGAAAGACTCCAGAACACTACCTCGCAAGTCTTCCACATGCACAAGTGCTTCGGCGAAGTCACTTTCGAGTCGTCACGAGGTGTTGCTACTGGACCCTTCACAGGCACACTTGAGGCCCGGGCTCTACTGGTAGTAGTTTCCAGGAGATGGCTCGGCGTCCCTATGCGCGCGGCCGCCGGCCCACTTCGCTGGTGGCTTGCTACAAAATCCGGCGCGTGTACCTGACCATCGTCTGCTACAGGCGCCAGGAATTTCCAAATGGATCTGCAGGGCGTGACCTGTTTTACAAACTTTGTTCCATGCATTTCAAATGCATGCATGTTGATGCTTTTGTTCCTTGTTTTGCGTGGTTTGAGGGATTGCATTTCAGGCCGCGCGACTTGTACTGCATGGCGTGTCGCTCCCACATGCAGCCCGGCCCGACATACGAGGTCACCTGGGATACTAAGAGCCCCGGGTGTTTACACTGGTGCTTTTAAGCATAGAATGCCAGCCCAACAATCTCCATGGGCAGAGCTGCGGCCCTGAAACGAGGAGAGCCTTTGCTAAGGAAGATTGAAGCTGAGCCGCCCGAGTCACGGCGCTTCACGGTGGAGGTACACTGGCAGAGCAGCATGGGTGTAAGAGCCGATGTGATGTCAGGATATGTCAGGGTCGTAGACTCGAGGCGAAGGCTGTGAGTGAGATTACTTGTTTGATTGTGGAATGGGGGTCTTTTCTCCAAGAGCTCTCGAACCAACGCCTTGTCCTTGCAGAGTCCAGAACCACCTTTTCCTAAGTCTTCACACCATGTTTTTTGCAGGCCGATGACGAGGAGCCGCTCAGGTTCACTGCCCCCAGCAGACGCCAGGCGTGGCCCACGGTGTAGGCACACTGGAGGCCTAGAAATATTAAGTCTATGCTTACGCTTAGGGCTTGCGATTTTGGTGCGGGTTATGGCTTGAGGTTTAAGGGTTGAGGGCTTTTCGATTGGTTGAACTGCAGAGGTCGGGGGCACCACACCATAGGTGGATAGCATGGGGTATGGCTGGGCCGGCGCTGCCCTGTTCCAGACGGTTCCATCACACGGAGTCGACTTGGGGGAACCGTTGGGTGAATCTCTCCTCCAGGTGGCAACGACTGCCGCCAGAAATAAGTTGCAGAGTATGTCCCAGTCCGATTCGCCTTGACAGGCGAAGCTCTGGGTCACTGCCCTGGAGGCAAGACCCGTCGCCTCTATCGTCACTGCAGGGCTACTTGCACATGGCTCCACATTCCTGGATGAGCTGCAAACGAACAACTGTTCGATGCATCTTCCAGGGTACTTCAGTAAACGAGGCTCTGCTCTTTCGTGTTTTGCTAGGTGGCGGCTGGCTACGTGGAAGCTAACGTGGAAGATGTCAGGGAAGCGCAGGCTGCAGCGCTGGCTCCTGACTCAGTTCTTTGTTTCGTGGGCCGCCCGGCGGCGGGCCATTCGAGCCGTTTCGAGCCGTTAACCTAGTGCATAGTCTCGCTGCTACAGGTGCAGTTCGAGTACAAGACCTGTTGAGATTGGTTAAGGTGAGCTCCGCCAGTGGCCGCCCTGGCCTGGCGGACGGGGCCTTCCTTTCCAAACCTGCCTCGGCAGTGGCGTGGACGAACTTCCTTGGGACTTTGAGATGTGCACATCTTTTTGCAAGAGTACTTCAGAAGTTGGGGTTTAAGGCTAATGGCCCTCTGCATCAAGGTGCGCGCCGCGCTGCTCGGCTCGCTGGACCTTCTCTTGGAGGATGCTTAGAAGGCTTAGATGAGATTTGGAGTATATCTTTGAGGCCTTGAACAAACTTGAGGGGGTTCGGATTGGATGAGGTCGTAGCACAGAGCAGCGGTCATTCGTGTTGGCATGTGCTGGCTCGGATCTGCAGGAGAAGGAGCTGGCAGGGGTGCTCAGCACCGCACGTCAGGCTGACAACGTGATGACTGCTCCTCCAACTAGTGATATGTGCGGAGCATGCGGCTTAGCGCAAGTGCTTCTGCTCGTCTTCCAGGCTCAGATCGCATAATCGAGGTAGGTTAGACACGCCCCACATAAACTCCCTGGCCGGAGGCAAGACACGGGCTGCTCGAGCCATACCTTTTGGGACCAGAGGCATCAGCATCGGAACGGAACGATGACCCTCTGACTGTCTGACTCTTTCTTCACTTTTTCGAGAAGCCTCATGCCCCTGTTTGTGGGAAGCGAACATTGACCACTGTACATCCAGGCAGAGCGTCGATGGCAGAAGCGCCGTCTGAAATGGATTTTTGGCTTCGCTACTCGCCGGAATGATATATTTTTTGATGTTAAGGTACTTGTCTCTGGGTGTGGGTATGCAATTATTTTGCATATATATATATATGTATATACTACAAAAGCATATACAGATGACCTCAACATCTGAGGTTGATGCAGATGGAACGGGAGCCCTGTCCATCGAGAAGATCAATCTGCCACGGGTCTGCAGCGATTGATGCGGAGGGCAAGACCGAACAGCCTCGAACGAACGCGCACACTTCTCACTTTGGGGTTCAGGGTTCAGGGTTCAGGGTTTAGGGTTTAGGGTTTGAGTATCAGGAAGTACCTTCTTTGGTTCCTGTTGCTGCATGGGCCTCCGAAATCTTGGCAGGTTATGGCATGAGATGAACATCAATGAGAAGGAGGGACAGCAGGCTGGAGAGTCTGGAGGGAAACGAGCTTCGACTTCCTTGCCCTTCTCTTCTGCTTGCTTTGCCAATACACCTTGGATCATGACGTGTCCGCATGGACAGGCGGACAGGAATAGCAGAGTAGCACTTGCAGGAGAGTGGCCTGTGCTTGTGGCAAGACTCAATCTGCCAGGTCCTAACAGCGTTCCTGCGAGAGGCGCCTTGCTCAACTGGCTTCTGTGCGCTTTTGGTATCTCATTTTCTCATTGCCGGCAGCTGCTACAGAAGATAGCTAATGGCCAGTACTAGTACCTAGTAATGATAAGCAGGAAGGAAGCAAAAAGCGCAGCATTGTAAAAGGCCCTCGCCCCTGCCGGTCGTTCAGCAAGCCAGGGCAAATTGACCGCCCCCACCCAATCCTCACAGGGAAGCATCCAAAGGAGAGACTGTCAGAGACCATAATTGAGGGAGTTGCGCATGTACAAATGTATATATATATATAGACGCGCATGCAAGTGTGCGTGTGTGTATGCGTGCAATGCATGTCTGTAGTCCTAGTATGTATATATATATATACACACATGTGAATTACACAGTTGCATCGTATGTCACGACAGCTAGTTCCGGAGGAGCTTGCTTCTTGCTTATATTGGATCGAAAAACAGGTCCGAGGCCTTAACGGTCTGATAAATCGATGGTTACTGGCTTGTACGGAGGGGGGGGGGCCAACATCCATGTCCAGTTTCATGAAGGTCTGGGTGGGTAGTAAAGAAACCCGTTTTAGAAGCCCGTGTATGCTTCAAAGCTGGCACGTTGCCGAGAAGACCCTCCCGCACGCTGGCCCCCCTGTCCGCGCCTCCGTACTGCTGCCATTATTCGTTAGTATACTGCACAGGCCGCACATGCCCACTAAGTTACCACTGGAGATGCCAGAACTCAGGATCTGGCAGTCCTGCGACTCCCCTTCTTGAACACATTCAGAGACATCTAGAGCCCATGCTCAAACCCTTCGCCGCCTTCCCCCGCAAAGCCCCAGGAGCGGCAGGGACGTCGCTCTGGGGGCGGCCGCCAAATCGGAGGCGGCCAAGTGCTGCGGCTCCAGGTGCGGAGTGCTTCGGGGGTTGTCTTTCTTGGGCTTGAAGGGTTCAAGGTTTGGCAATGTTACTTATTGAAAAGGCTACTTTTGAGCGATGCTGGGCTTGGCGCCTGGCAGCTACCAGCTGCCAGCAGGACTGGACAAAAATGCTCTCCCTGGTGGATAGCGCATATGCCTGCGGCCTAAGAAGACATGCGCTTGTGTCTGCTTCATATTGCTGAAGCCTTGAAAATCTTAAAGCTTGACTTTTTCTGCTTGACTGTCTGAACCGCAGGCGCTGCCTTTGGAGCTTCAAGTTTTTGATGCACCCTAGAGTCTTCTAGCTCCTTCTTCTGGTGGCAGTTTGTGCAAGCAAGTGTTGAATATTGTGCTAGCTGTGCATATGTGTCCCTCCACTGTGACCGTCTCTTCAAACCAGGTCAAGGCAGTCCACCGGTGTGTGCGAGACCACCTCCACCTTGGCCGGGCAGCTGCACGCAGCGGCGGAACGCCTCCTGACTGCAAAAAGAAGTACCGATGCCAGCCGACCCGATTCCTTGTTGGGGGGAAGTGCCTGGCAAACTCCAAACAAGACGGCTCGGCTGTGTCTCTGCTGGCACTCTTCGAGGTGTGTAGCGTCAGGGGCCAATCGTCAGAGTTGTCAGAGTTATGTGCCTGACGTTCATAACAACGATGTGTGCCTAGTCTGCCGCTCAATCTCTATAATGAGCCTGAACATCACTGGAAATCCGAAGGACCTCCTTACCCAAGTCCGTCTCCATCCCAGACGCTGCATCAGGATCACAGAGCTCATGGTGCATGGTCCGGGCTCGGAGGTGCCGGTGCAGGTGCAGGCAGCCCTTGTTCATGGGGAGATGCAAGCTGTGGGGGTGCACGAATGCGTGGCATGCATGACGGGAAGTGAGGCCTGTTACTGCGCTGGGGCTTTGTTGGTGTGTTGTCGGATGAGGGCAGCCCAGCAATCAGCGGGGCGATGGTATCGATCACATCTTCTGACTTCCTTTCCAGGTCACTGCAGATGACTTGGCGGGCTTCTTTGCGGGCATCCAGGGCGTCCCCTGGCCGAGACTCACTTAAAGAACTCAACTGCCTCCTTTGCGTGTTCATTATTGCCATTTGTTATTCCACGTTATTCCTTTGTCTTTGCTTGAGTTAGGTCTGGCCACCCCCCTCGAAGCAACAAGTTGAGAGACTGCTCGCGCGCTTCTTGGTCGCATCAAGGCATCACGGCAAGTAACCTTTGTTGGGCTTCTGTGTTGTATGAGGTCTCCCTGCACCACTCACCAGGCAGCACAGCCTCTCTGCAGAAGCGCCACTGGACACACTATCAGTGTGTGTGTGTGTGTGTGTGCGTGTGTGATGATCTTGGCGGCAGGGCTTCAGTTTGTGCTGGAGAACATGGCCCATTGTCTCAGGCTGGTGCAGATGCTTTGCTCGCCAGGCAGGGCAGCAAGTCAGGTGTGGGCTGGAGTCCACACTCTAGCTCTAGAGCCTTTGCGAAACACGCAGCTGGATTCAAAACTCAGGGAACGCGCTGGTAGACCCAGCGAAGCGGTCCTTGTTTCAGGACCTTTCAAAAGACGCTTTGCACGGCCCGTGGGTCAACAGCAGTGAGCTGCTTGGTCATGCAACGGGAACGAAGCCTTTTTTCAACTTCGCCAGGACATGACCCAGCCCTTGTGCGCATACTTTGTGGATACATCGCACAACACCTACTTGGAGGCAGCTGCGGCACTTCTTGCTTCACAAGCAGCATGTGTGTATTTTGTACCAACCAGGTACACAGAATCCACAGACTCATTGGCCTCAAAGCTGAAGAGCCTCACCCGATCCCCGAAAGTGTTCCTGGTCGGCAGGGCAGGGCCCTTCCCAAAAACGTGTTTGTTGCTTGGAGGGCAACCAGCTCAGCAGCCGGTCCTCCGTGCTCCGCTATGTGGAGGTGCTCCGTGCCGGATGCCGCTCTGTGGAGGCAACAATCCAAAAAGCCTGGACCGGTAGGGTTTAGGGTTTAGGGTTTAGGGTATAGGGTATAGGGTATAGGGTTTAGGGTTTGGGGTTTAGGGTCTCATCAGAGATTGTTTGGGTGGCTTGGCGAGGTGGACGTTTGGGATGGCAGCAATGGCGAGCCGGTGGTGAAGCACGGCTACACCGTGACCACTGAAGTGCCTTGGGTGGAAACAGCAAAGACGCACAAGACACCTACACATTTTTTAGACGGCTGTCTTGATGGTTGCTTTAACTTCTCAGTGCTTTGCTATACATTGACCTCGGCGGGCCTGCACTATGGTTTTCAAATCTTGAATGCAGGTGCTTTTCCAGGATGTCATTCAGGCCCGCTTGGCTTGCGACGACACACACTTCTGTACATTGCGCTTCAGTTCAGTCAGCCAGCATTGATTCAAGGCAGAGAGTTGATGAGTTCAGTGATAGTCGTCAATTGCAGCTTGTGAGGAGCACGCTTGCTTATTCAGTCACAATCGAATGTTTGGTCTTGACAGCTTCTTTGCTTTCTCGTTAACCAGGCAATCGCAGATCATGCGTTCCTAGGCAGCAAACATGTCCAGCATTTTGTCTTGCAGCTAACGTTCAGTGAAGGGTCGTTAGTCGTTGGTCAATGGAACACTTGACTGACTGGCTTTGCTAGCTTTCCCAAAACATCTGCTCAGTTCCTTTGATGTTGGCCAAGGTTCGTTGCGTCCGAATTCCCTGTCATAATCTCCATTGCCCCTCAGATGCACCTGGTCTCGTAACATCGTTGGTCCCGTATGTTGTCGTTGTTACAGCAAAGCGAGCCGGTCTTCCGGCCCACGGGGCCGAAACCACTTCAAGGCAGCCCGAATTCAGTTTCGCTTGGATCTCAGGAGCAACACTGCTGCGCTGCGCAGCGGGTCCGACAGGGGCAGATCATGTCCGAGGTTCTGGGAGACCAGCTGCTGAGGCCAGGGCAGAGCATGCAGAGGTTGGCAAAGTTGCTGATGGCCACGGGCGAGCTGTGCTTTGTGGCCTCGCTCCGGCATTTGCACAGCGCGCTGGTTGTGCTAGGCCGCCATGGGACGAGCAGCACCAGTGTATCGACAGCATGGAGGCTGCAGGGACGTCTGCACGACGCGCAGTTCCCGGTTGAACTGCGGAGTCCTACTGTTGTCTGGGCAGTGCCAGGCGGAGTCCATCTCGCCGTGGTCGGCGCGGAAACGGGTGCTCGTGAAATCCTCGCACCCCGGCAAGTGGCATTTTGCAGGATCGGACCTTTTAAGCAACCAAAAAGAACAGCAGGTATGTATGAGAACCCAAGAAAGTTCAGAGCCGGGCTTCTGTGGCTTTGGCATTACTGGGGAACCTCAATTTATGGTTTAGAGTTTGGGTTGGGGCAGGTTAGGGCGTGAGCAGAGGTCCACCCAACATTGTTCCTTGGGTTTGGGGGTCTTACCCTACATTCCCACTCTCATCAAGTGTTCTCGGAATGTGCCTCGGGTTTGGGGCCTTACCCTGCATTCCCAATCTCATCAAGTGTTTTCGGAATCCTTTTCAATGAGGGTCGGACACGCTTTGCCAGCGGCTCTAGAACTTTTTCCAGAAGCCCGCAGGAGGACTCACAAAACATTCCGAACCCGTTTTGAGACCGTTTCAATTCATGTATGAAAAGGAAAGGAGCCTTAAAGCTGGAGGTGCTTCTCATGCTCTGACTCTGAGGGCAATCTCTCAGGCTTGCGCTCTGTACAGTGCTTCTGTGTGTCCAGCACCCTGGAAGGGGGCTACTGCCAAAACAGGCCGCCGAAGCAGGTTCATGGAGGGTTTGAGGTTTAGGATTTGGCTGCTTTGCCACCCATCTATGCGGATGGGGTGATGTCCAGGCCCTCACTTTGATGACCCAGTAAGCTCGCCTCGCACGTGGCACGGCCACCTTCCACGTCAAATCAGGTATCTGCGCCCGTTCCCTTGGGTTCTGGAGGTGGTTGGCCTTTTCAAGGGAGCCCACATCCCAACCCCATGTTCCTTCTCGTGCGGCTACAACCTTCTTTTAAGAACAACCATAAGACCAGAAGTGAAAAAATTGTTTATGCGGGCAGGCCGCTGAGACGGCGTGGGGTGAGATGAATGCCTGGTAGCAACTACACGAGGATTGGCTGCTGCGAGCGATGCCGGCGGCCACTTCCAATCTATGACCGCTGTGTGGCCCTGCCCACACGGAAGCTTGGGCTCGTAAAGATCTTTTGTGCCGAACAGTTGTTGCTATTTGGGTGTTTCCGCGTTTCCGTGTCGACAGAATGTGTGTCGATGTCGGTTCAGCATCATGCATGACATCATGATCTGTTCATGCATGAGCAAGGAAGCTGCTTCACAAGCTGGTGGAGAGGGAGGTGCGGCTTTGCTGCGGGGGCTGTGACTTTCGAGCAGGGAGCTCGAAAGAGACGAAGAAGCAGAAGCAGCAGAAGAAGAAGAAGAAGAAGGAAGAAGAAGAAGAGGACTACTAATAATCATAAGAAGAAGAAGAGGAAGAAGAAGAATAATCATAATGAGAAGAAGATAGCGCACAAATGGGTATCAGCTTAGACCAAGGCGTGAAGAAACAATCGCAAGCAGAACACGCTTCCGGGCTTTAGACAGTGTTTGAATCCGGATCGGTGTTCACGGCTGAATCGCTTCCGCTCGCAGTATCGTCGTGAAGTTGTTTGGCTACCTTGAGCCTGTGGCAGTTACACGATGGGAGTGCTTCTCCGAGTGCCGTCTCTGTGGAGCAGGACAATGTGCTGCTGCGGTTCTGTAAGGGGAACTGTCGGGGGCTGTGATGGTCAGTGCAGGATTCGAGCTACGGGTTTGCTGTCGCTTCCGGCACCGCGGCGAAGGTCGGGGTACCTTCGGAAACCATAATGCGCATAAAGCCTCGAAGTTGCAAGAAGGCTACTACCTTGAACAGATTCCCCAATCACTTGGAACACTGAGCGGCACGAAGCCCTGCATGCCCCGAGCTCACACCATTGTTGCAGTTCAAGATTGTATTCGTTAGTAGGAAGCAGCCAGACATGTGAGCATACATGTCGACATCGTCGATGACTGAACTTCAGGTGCACAAGCTAGAGAAGAGCCTGGGACGTGATGCCCTGCTGCGCTGGAATGGTGCCCACCTTTCGCGTGTCTACCCTGAGGGCACGCGCATAGGATCGGGCAACGTGGATCCAGCAGCTCGGCTGTAAAAGTACTGATGCATGTGCAGCACCCATCAGTACTTCATCAGGACACGCAGATCCGCCTCCGATCTTGTAACCAAAGCTGCAGGTGCCCATGTGGCTGTGCGGCGTACAGATGGTGGCCATGAACTATCAGACGTCAGACACCGGCCTGTTGCTGAACGAAGGACCTTACAATCCCCTGCCGCCGTCGTTTGAATGAAACTCTGAACGCTGCGCGTCGCCCACCTCGGCCCGGCCCATGCAGGGTTTACTTCTAAGGGTTGAGGGCAAGGGTTGTAGGGTCCATGCATGTCTACTTCCAGAGCTTGCTTTGACATGGTGCGTGGTGGATTTCTGCACGGTCCATACTCAGCTCAGTGGCCGATCCCCTCCCCGCCCGCACAGTCGCACTAAGCCACCCCCCCCCCTTCCCTGACACCCTCAAACCCCCCCTTCTGCCCCGACCCCCCACAAAGCGGCGGGGCAGGGGAATAGGGGTCGTGAGAACCGCAGAAACCATTGGCTCGAAAGAATCGTATCTATTCGTTTTCAGACCGCGAGTCACGTCCCTAAGCGGACTGCGTCGCGCCAGTCTTCTCACAAGTTTCTCACCGGTTGAGAGTTACTTTCAGGGCCGGACTTGACGTCGCATGCCCGTCGCCTTGACGATGCAGTCTGAAGTTGCACTTGCATTTTTTAATCTTCCATGGCAGGGCTGCATTTCTCGGTTGCTTTGTTGAGACTGTACATCTTATCTCATCTCAACTGCTTGGTCTTGAAGCTAGCTTTGCAGTGTTTTGGTGTGGAGGCCTGTTTCGTAACTATAATGGTGGATGCGGCTATGTTTTGCACCTTGGCCTTCTTCAAGTTGTATGCATGATCCTGCCATCCGCATTTGTTGCCTAAGTTGCCTACAACACGACTGCATGAAGAGCCCCCCGCAGAGCCGGTCTGCCAGAAACTCAGGAAGCCGCCTCTGATCGACCGCACGTCTGCATCGCGGAGGCATCCTGCTGACATGGCTTCAGTGTCCATGCCGCTAGCTGCACAGACTGCCCCATGTTGTGCGAGTCTGCGAAGGCTTCACCTCTGCATTTGCTGTGGGCACCGTCTTCCAAGGCAACACCCAAAACCATGCGCAGTTGATACGACAAGCACAGCTCTTGAGAGCTCGAAGCGATGCATTGCGATCTAGTTTTTACTTGGTGGCAGCGCACAGTGTGCAGGCCCGACCTTTCACTGGGCGAGACGCGTGGCGCCACTTGGGCAGCGAGCGGAGATTGTGGAGATAGCGAGAGCTACAGAGTTCAGTTCCCTTCTGAGCTGGCATGTCAGGTGAGCTCGCCAATGGTTTCTGTGTCCCTAGAGCCTGGCCAGCAGGCGCTGGGCAGTTGAACGCTGTGTTCAAGCTGAGAGCCACACTCGCTTGCTGTTCCTCGACAAGTCCACAATCCTCTAATTTCGTTTTGTCCGAGGTGTCCCACACCCGAGCTGTGAAGCAAGATGGCTACCACCCTGTCTTCGACCACGAGGCCCTGCGGCCCTGCGACCCGCAAGTTCTACCACAAATAGTCTTGCTGTTGGCTCGGCCTGCTGTGCACGCCGGTTAGAGAACCCATGGGCGCGAGGGAAAACAAGCGGCAAATTCTTGTGTCAGGTGGAGCTGCAGTTGTCAGACAGCCCGTTGCACATCCTGACTTTCGAGGTCTTCGATGCTTGGAGAGGAGAACAAGGTATACTTTAGATTGGAGGAAGCCTTAGGAAGCCTGAGGAAGAGGTTTCAGAGGATTAGGATGGAGGGCCCGACGGATGCGTGAGAACTGATGTCTTTGCTCAGGACACTCCCAAAGGCAGAACCATGGCCAGGAGTTTTGTGCTTCATGGTGGATGCTCCCGGGTGTCCCAAAATGTTGAAGGTTGAGACATGTTGAGACGTTGCTGAGACGCGCATATTGTAGCGTCCTTGGCAACATTTTGCAGTGTATCAGGGATCTGTTCATATATCAAGCTTGGTCAGACACTTTGGCACATCTCCGGTATGAGTTCTGGAGCTGCAAAAATCCTGGCAGGAGTGCTGTGACTCTCGATGCCGTGCGCACGGGCTTTCGCTGGCTGGCCCTCCACAGCCCACAGGGCCACAGCATTCCAAGGTGTGGCCTTCTGCTGAAGGTGCAGTTTCTGCCCTGACAATGTTTTCCATGCAGCGGAGCTGCAAGTTGACCGAAGCACCCGTGATGGTGCAATCGCCGTTAATGCACTTACTGCTGTGCGAGAAGACATCGGGAACCTTCTCGCAGCTTGCTCGACGATCTTTGGCCAGAGTCTTCTCGCGCAGCGGTGGCCCTAGCAACATGTTAATGCGCTCTCATCTGGGGAGCCACAGGAGAAGTGCAGACGACATAGGTGGTACTCTGCCTCCCACACGACCTCCCAGACCCTCATGCTGAATGCAAAGGCCCTTGAAGGGCTCCAGGTGTCCATTCTGTCTGAGGGCGACAACGAGCATTTGACTGAAAAGCGTTCCTTCCTCGCAGCAGGACGATGTATTCTAAGATCTTAGGTGTCAGAAGGCCCAAGTCAGGCCGTTGGGCTATTTATTGGGTTAATTCTGTAGTTTGCAGTGGCTTTCTGCAAGCGTTTTTCACATCATCGCTTTTTCACAGAAGCGCCCTCTTAGGAGAGGTCTGTTGCTCTCCGAGCTCGGTCATGCTTCTTCTGCAATCCCCTGTGCTCCCACGATGGAAGGGTTCTGCACTCCGTACTGAGCCGCAAAAAAAAGTGGGGCCAGAAGTGCACCAGCGCACTGTGCTTTTCTATGTCATGCAGGCAGCGCGCGAAGTGTTTCCTGAGGCCTGGAAGCTCCATCACCTCGGTGGCCTTCGTGCGAACGGGGGCCCTTCAGGTGGGTGAGGGCTTGCCACAAGCGTCATGGCGTTATGGTCGGGTGATGGCATGTAGCCGCACAGGCTTGGAACCAGATGCTCAAGGTGGCTCCGCGGTCGGTCCTGAGCGGACTCTGGCGGGAGGCCAGAAGTGTTTTTCCTAGACCTGTCCAGGGGCTCTCCATGCCTAGTAGTCTGGAGGCGACATGCCTGAGACTTTGCCAGGTTCTGCAGCTCGTCCTTCAGGGGCCCTGTGGGAACGGCACCTCAGCCGCTTTTCACTTTTCACGCTTTGCCTCGTTTCCTTTGCAGAAACCTCCGTTCTTTGCTAGGAGAAGACAATCATGGTGATACCACCCTTTGGCACAGACGAGTTGTGTGTTCTTGCAAAGGTTGTGCCCAAACTTTCATATCCTGCAGTGGTTCTTGCTGGTGTTTAAAGGCGAGTTACCCGTAGGGATGCACGAAGGTTTCGCCACCGCGACACTCAGAACATACTCACCCATACCATGCCAGACTACCTGCTCCCTACCCCGACTCCTGCACGCTTGGGAATCGCACAAACATGTCCATCATGGAGTTCATAGCACTGTTAAGAAGTACATTTCGACCCTTTCCCTTGAAACATGTCTGCTTCGGGACTGTTGGTCTAGATGTAGAAACCAGGGCCAACCAAGACGAACCTACATTCATGCCATTGGCATCTGTTGGTCTTCAGACCATGCTAGAGTCACCTGGAGTCGCTGCCGACAGGGGGTGCTTGCTAGTGCTTGCCGAGGTGATGCGGACTTTGGTTCCCTCTCCAACCTGCGGAAGCTTCGTGTGGCCAGATGCCCAGTAGCAGCAGGTAGAACTTCTGAAGCCCTTTGAAGGCTCTTGGGGGCGTTTGCGGGACTCGCACGTGTTGCACGTTTTGCGCCATTGCGCGCCCCTGCCGTTCAGGCAGTCGCCTGCCGAGCAGGACTCGTGGCTCTGCCTCCGCGGCTGGCGTTCGGACGCCTGGTGGAGCATGTGCAGCCCAGTCCGCTCGTTTCACAATTTCAAAGCTGAGTTAAGCTCGAACGCTCTGCGACTCTGTCCGAAGAATCCACCCGCTTCCATCCATAGGCCCTGGCGCTACGAGCGGGGCGCGCGCTCTCTCCTGGTCAATTTTGCAGAGGCTCGACGCAGTGCCTCCTGAAGATCAAGTGGAGTGCGGAGAAGCAGCATGAAGTAGCTATAAGATGCTATAAGCTTAATGTTCCCTGTTGCTAGCCGCTAGCCAGAGAGCTGCAGGCCACGGGCGGCTCTGCACCAATAGCCTCCGCAGGCATGACGGGAGCCGAGCGTCATGTTGTCAAAAACCTTCCATCAGTTTTCCAGCTCTGCAGTTTCCGTGCATTGCCGTGACACTCAACCCCTCGGCCCGACCACCGGCATGTGCAGAGATGTGCAGAGGCGTCAACGTCGGCTCTGTGAACCAAGACGAGGACACTGAGGAGGACGCCCCAGAGGAGGTCGAGGAGGCACCTGACCCTAAGTCTTTCATTGCTCTCAGGCTCTGACAAACCTGAATGTTTTTTGCACGCGAGCGGGTAGGTGGTCGAGCTTTTGCTCTCTGCCCTCCGCGATGCTGAGACTGTGGTACGCTGGGCTGCGGCCAAGGGGGTTGGCTTGGGGCCCAGTATGGCCCAGTTATGGCCCAGTTGCGCTGTTCTCTAAGACTTCTAAGGCTTTTACGACTTAGGGTGCTCTTTGGCTGCCCGCAGAGTCAAGGTCGCATCACGAACCGGCTCTCCCGAGACTTCGGTGACCAGGTGCTGCGCTCTGGGTAGGGGGGCTCTGAGGGCAGAGATGCTTATATAATATAAAATATAACTTAACACTATATATTTATATGCGATATTCCATCTTTCAGTTTATGTCAGAAAACATGCTGGACATTCCTGGAGGTGCTCGAGTCGTTGCTGGACCGCTGCTTTTCCTTCCGCGAGACGGACAAGGCAGATTTCCATACCAGTCCAGACCCTAAACCCTAAACCCTAAACCCTAAACCCTAAATCCTATAAACCCTAAATCCTATAAACCCCAAACCCCAAACCCCAAACCCCAAACCCCAAACCCCAAACCCCAAACCCTAAACCCTAAACCCTAAACCCTAAACCCATTGGGAACCAGAGACGCAGGCCTGGCACGGCGGCTGCCTGGCCTTGGCCTGGAGCTCAGAGTGCCCAGAGGCTCAGAAGAGACGGCTTCTGATGCAAACGTGAATATCTAAGCCAGACGATGCCCTAAACCCTAAACCCTAAACCCTAAGTCCTAACCCTAAACCCTCAACCCTAAACCCGAACACTCTCTTAGAACCTGAGGAGCCAGATGGTGCCAAAGTGGTCCTTGGGTTCATCTTGCTCAGCACGCCTCCAGTCCAGTCTTGTAGAGGCCTTGTGGCGCGGGAAACTCCGCGGATTCTCTGCGGGCTTCTCTGGGCACTCGAGGGACACTTGGCGGGATTCGGGGTCGGCGCTCCAGGGATGCTCGGCGGGAGTCTCTGCGGGCCAGGGACCAGGCCCAGGAGCCAGGCGAGACACCGGGCGAGGAGGCGAGGAGGCCAGGAGGCGAGGAGGCCAGGAGGCGAGGAGGCCAGGAGGCGAGGTTGACTTAAAATCTAACAGCCCGGTAGCAAATTCCGCTACGGGTCAAACGAAAACTGCAGGCAGAGCTCACGCGGCGTGGGCTGCTTCTTCCTGATCGCCTGCCCACAGTGATTCCGCTGATCTGCCAGGCTCAAAAAAAGGGACGCGGGACCTTAAACGGGGCCGAATGTATCCTGTGGGGGAGGGGGAGGGTATTTGGGATTCTATGCTTGGAGGCTCTGCACTTCGAGCAGGTTTCTGGCAACCATGCAGTCGGTGTGGGCCTGAGGCTAGGGCATTGTAAGGATATTGCAAGACATCCTGAAGCTTCTGAAGGTTGTATGGCGATCAGTTGCTTTTTGCTTTGAGTTTTGCAGACGAGTTCGTGCAAGCTCAGCTGAGGCCAACACGTGCGGGATGCTGCGTGTTACGCCTCAACCACAGCCTCCAATGATGTGACAAAGCACATGAGATGCTGAGATGGCATTCCACATCACTTCGATGCCAACATGCCAGAGGTATGTTGGGCCTTCGCTCGTGCTTATGCGCCCGATGTCCTCCAGCCGTATGTTGAAGACCTGGCCAAAGCTCTCATCCAGGCACAAGCCGATGCTAGTTTGGGCTCAGACGGGGGCTGCTGGGATCAGTGCGGTCAATATGTCATGTAGGCTTGAATTGAGACGATGGCCTGAATGTTCTTGTGCGCTGCTTTGCCGTCTCAATCCGTATCAGCATACGCATGCACCGTATCAGCATGGGTATCCGTATGCACCGTTTTACAGGGCTGGTTTGTCAGAACCTATAGCAGCGGCTGCATGGTAATCTCAACTGTCGTCGGATGGGATTGGGGCAGTGACTTCCTGCAGCCTGCGTTCAAATGCGTTAGCTTTACAGGTGGCGGTTTACGACCGAGAAATCAACTGCCGGTGTGCACCTTACATCAGGCCTTGCACGTCGATCACGAATGCTCCCAAAGCAAATAGCGTCATTTTTCTCAAGGCAAAATAGTCAAAACAGGCCCTTGCCCCCCTTCTCCACCAACGTTGTTTATGGATCGAGCCTTCGGCAGCCAAGGCGTGCTGCAGCTGCCGCTGTGCAGGACCTGTTCATGCCTGTTCAGGTGCCTGCATGTTGACCCCAAACCGTAAACCCCAAACCCGAAACCCTAAACCCCAAACCCGAAGCCCTAAACCCGAAACCCTAAACCCTGAACCCTAAACCCTGAACCCTAAACCCTTAAAAAAAAGGAAGCCTAAACCCTAAACCCTATAAGTTTACTGCTAAACCTTATAAGTTTGCTGCAAAAGAGGAGAACGTGGGCAGACAGGGAACCTTTCCAGATGGCATCGAAGTTGCCACTCGGCCCTGCCTTTGGCTCTGATTTCTGGGAGATTTTTGCCTTACTGCTGGGCGGGAATGAGGGAATGAGGGAATGAGGTACCCTATATCCCCCTGCATACATAGATATATATATATATACATACATACATACCCTACTAACCAGCAGCAAGTTTTTGATGGCCGGACGGGATGGTCATGTCATCAGCTGAACTCTCGGAGCCACCCGAACTCTACATGTCCCAGCTCAGCTCTATAGCAGTGTCCGCAGGGAGGTGTTTGCAGAGTGGAAGTCAAGCAAGAGCGAGGAAAAATCACAAAGCAAGCCGCGCAGGGTAGAAGTGCAAAATGCAAGGGCGCGGAGTCGCGAAACCTCATATCCGCATGAGGAGATCTGATGCGCCCTTTCCAGACTGCCTGAGCAGCAGCGACGGAGAAATAGACACAGTCAACGATAAAATCACAGAGCGAGAGCCCAACAAGACGGTCCTTCGTGGACTCCTGTGGATTGTTTGGGTCATGGTTCGCCTTGCCCGTTTGTTGACTGTGCTTCCCTGCTTCCTTCGTCCCACTCTCGTGCTCAGCGCCCGCGCTCTCATGGGAGCTTATCTCACAAGAAGCCCCCAATAGGCAAACGTACTCTGGTCGAGGCCCACAGGCCTCCTGTGCCGTTTTGAAACTCTGGCCTCGAACACAAAACTAGGTCAAGTGTGAGTCGATGGGCTGATAAGCATGTTCTGTTCACTTCTGTTCCATTCTTGACTATGGAGGTTACCATCGCCGACTACTGGACTCTGTCTGGCCGACGGAATGCGCACCTCGACAACGATGTAAGCGGAGAGTGTGAGACCATTGCAGCGCCAAGTAGTGATTGGGGCCAATGTGTTCAGGTTCATGGCAGAAGCTTTTCTCAAATCACACACGCCGACTGACCCTTACGAGACCCTGGCAGGTATCTCGAGGTCGCGCCAAAGATTGCCGCCCTCGGGAATGGTGGATACAGGCTCGGATCTCACATTGCGGTCACTCTTTGTCCACCCAAAGAGATGACAATGACACTCATCGGCGAGGCAGTCGCTGATCGAGCACTTGGTGAGCCGAAAACTGGCCCACCAGGCTCCGGGCTTCGAAAGGGGATGATGGGATGCTCGTGAGGAATTGAAATCACGGTGAGCATGAGATAAAAAGATGGGGCTTTCGGATGCTTTCGGTCCGGCCTCCGAGTGGTCGTGAGAGCCCCGGTGCAGTAGCTGCTCTGTTTGGCTGTAACTTTTCGTAGGCTGTGTCTTAAATCCCATCCCTCTAATATTAACCCCCCTACCCCCCCCAATATTAAATACTCCCATTGTAGTCATACTACAGTATATGGGGGGTATGTGAGGTAGAGGGGGGGGTGTAATGATAGGGGGCAGGGGATTAGGCGGGCGCTGTTTTTGATCAGGACCTCCAGATCCGGATGCTCGCTGCCCAGGGCCTTGCCCGGCTGGCCTCGGAGCGCCGGCCTGAGCCGTCAGAGCTAAAGCATATATACATATATGTATATACTACATCTTGTTAATGTATTATATATCTACATATATGTATATACTACAGATTGTCAATTCAGTATAGATGTATATACATATATATATATATATATATATACGTATACTACATATTGTTAATTCATCATCATCATCATCATCATTATAAATAAATAAATAAATAAATAAATATATATATATGTATATGTATATGTATATGTATATATATATATGTAAGTGTTCAAAGGCCAGGTCTGGACTGAACTTGGTTTGTTTCACAGGCCACCTCAGCAGGGAGGGGTCGCCACAGATGTTGCGTGCCTGCTTTGCAGGCTCTTTGCTCAACGCATGTCTGTTACTCGCCCATGCCCGCGCGTGCCCGACCTGATATCCCCCCATTGCTTTCACGTACACACACAGCATGGGCAGATATGCGCAGCCATTCCAAGGGAATGCCAAGCTGTTAAGCTTGGGTTCATGTCACGCCCGGAGGCCCTCTGACGACACGCTCAGCTACCTGAATAAGGCTGGTGCCCTGGCCCATAGTAACGGTCTTATTCACTACGCTTGCGCTGTCCGCGCCAGTTTTGTCGAGCAATCACGGCGCTGTCGTGCTTCATTCATTCTCTGAGGGCTGGCTTGAGTGCGCCTTGCCGTGCTGTGAGTAGTTGTCAGGTGGTGATTCCAAGCCTTGTTGAACGCTCCACCGCCGAGCAAGCGAGCCTGCCACCCAACCATGTCAGTGCTAATCAACTGGCAAATATTGTGTGGACCTTGAAAAGCCTTGAAGGCTGTTCCAAGATCGAGATTTCCATGAGATGTCTGTGGACTCTGTCATGCCAGCTCGGCTCAAACTCGAGTTAGCGAAGCCACCCGCCAGAGCCCTTGACATCACGACCAGACTTCCGAGCACACTCCCACCACATCCCACTGCCCAGTCATAAGTGAAATTCTTTGTTTGAGTGACTTCCCTGCCCGCAGCCACCCAAATTAACCCCCCCCCCATTCCTGGTATCGGTTTTCCTCGCCGCCGGGTGCAGCCGCTCTGCGCAGGCAGGAGGCAACATTTGTCTGCCCTACCTAGTAGTGCCAGCATGGATGAAGCCTATTCAGCACCAGTGATCCTGGAACCAACTTGCGCTCGGAGCACATGCAGTGCAGCACGGGTTGACTCAGACTCTTCTGACCTGTCCCCAGGGATGACGCGGCCGACTGGTGACGAGCCGCAGGATGGTGTCGATGCCCACCAGTTCAAGTATGCTCTGCTACATTGCTCTAGGTCTTGCTTGAGAATGCGTGCAGGTCCTGGAATGCTGACTGTGTTCGAAGTGCCACGTGACAACTGCTTTGCCTCCAGGAGTCGACTGCCATTCGCAGACAGCGGCCCACTAAAACTTTCAGCTTGTTGTGGTTGTAGTGCTTGTTCTCATTCAGCCCACAGCAGACTCAGCTCGTCCCCAAATCTGTCCTTTCTATGCCTCTGGGGGAATTGTCAGCAGTCTACGTCGCGAGACAGTGCCATCGTGCAGCCATCAGTGGTGACCAAAACGGTTGGGAGAGCTGTCCTCGTCGTTTGCTCGCGAGTCTCAGGTGCGCGACATTTCATTGCTCCACACCCCCGTCGTAAAGCAGAGAAAATGCTAGGTAATGACGCTTGAGTTCGAAGAAGCAGGATAACAACAGTGCACTTGTCTGGTCAAGCGAGAGACATCCAAGGAATCTTCACCATGGCTGCCCCTCACCCAAGCGGCCACGTGCGGCCCCACCGTCCAGGCGGTGCATTTAAGGGTCAGGGCTAGTTTCAAGGCATTTCAAGGCTATACAAGTCCGCGATAAACAGTCAACAGCCTCGATGCAGCTTCCAGTTGACCTGGAAAGCCAACACCTTTAATCGCCCTGCCCGCCTCGGGGGCCCTGTGCCAGGAGTCCAACACCCGAAAGTCGACGGCAGGCTCTGTGGACAACTCGAGTGCAAGCTGGTAGTCGGATGTGACAACAAGATGGTAAGTCGGGGGCCGCGGATAGCATAGACCGCAATGCAATGACCGCAGCGGACGGTCCCTACCCGATGGTGTGCTTCTCAGAGTGGTTCCGCACCGAAGCAGCCCTCCATTGCCTCTTGTCGTAGTCAGAGCCCTTCAGGGCTATCGGGTCTCGGACGTCGTAGAGCTGCGGGAGACAACTTCTTGCCTCCAGAGCGACACACTCGCCGACGCATGCAGCAAGCTCTGCCAGTCCGGGCGTACTGCAGTGCTGGTGCTCAATGCGCCGAGCCCGAGCTGAATTCAGTTTGGTGGCTCGGCCTGTCGTGCCAATACAGGGCACTACTGGATCTACCGCTTTCTGCTTTCTCGCTGAATGTTGGGGCATCTTTGGAAGATTGGCTCCTCAGTTTTCTGTCCTACCCCGAGGAATGATGAAGTCGAAGTCCAGGGCGTGCTCACCGAAAACGACATCCTGCAAGCGACGCGCGATCTGAAGGGGCCCACGGTGGTGAATGGGTTTTGGATGGCTTTGAGTTTTGCGCTCAAGTTTTGTTTGAAACCGCCGGATTCCAGTCCGCTACTGTAGAACAAAAACCCTGAAGTCTGAATCTTTGCAGGGTCTAAGGCGTATATAGCCTCTATAGTAGCCTACATCATCTACATAGTATATACAGATGTACATATATGTACGTATGTGACAATCTATTGTCTTGCCAGTCCCAGGATCGTGGAAGGCGTTGACTGGGACCAGAGCCTCGAGAGATGGCCAGGGGCCAAAGGGTTTGGGCGCTTTGCTAAGGGGGGGGGGGGGAGGGCGCGCTTCGTGAGCACAGGCCTTAGAAAGCTTCAGTTTGCGATTTTTCAGCTTCGGCATTCAACTGGAGCCCCTAGCTTTATCATCGGCCTCCCTGTTTCAGAGTAGGTGGCTGACTTGCAGCCCTTCCTCGATGATTCACTTCGCGCGGATGTTGCTGGTAGTTGGACATAGTTTGAGGGTCATTGAGGGATAGCAAATGGATGGTTCGTTCTGCAGCCGAGGCTGCGGAAACCGGTGCTTAGGCTGAGAGTCTGACTTCACGTCTTGTAACTTTCTGGAGGCTGCAGCAAGGCCCAGCCCGGCTTCCCGGGTTCTTGGTGCCTCCCATGACGCTGGGGGCTGAGACACCCCTGGTGGAGGCGCAAGAGGGCTGTCTGCAGGATGCTGCAGGTCCACTGTATCTAGGCTGTAGGACCGGTTGTTGACTGCTGAGACGTGCCGAAATATGCCGAACATGCAAGAGGCGGCCAAGCTGATGTCGGAGCAGTCTGGGGGTGGCGGCAAGTTCTCCTGCCATCATCTTTTGGTGCGGGTGGCAAGTGGCCACTGATCTGAACCGGGCCTTGTGAAGCCTGAGTGCACTTTTCCCTTGCAACTATGTCGTACGATGTGGAGTTTCGATCTCTTCATTCACCCTCCCTTAGGGCTACAGCTCCGAACCGGTGCTGCAAACGGATGGACAGGGGATGTGTGTTTTTGGGGGCGTTTTGTCGGAGGCTCGAAGCTGGATGCCTCCGGGCGGCCTTTGAAAGCTCGTCTCCTCTCTGCCCTTGACATCGCCAACGGCATGATCGAGGTGCATGGTGCGAAGTGGTGGCTTCGATGTGAAATCCCTCTAAACCCCCTGGGCCTCCCTCGTGTCCAGGCTTCCAAGTCCTCGGTGGCCGCAGAGAGAGCTCTGGCCCTCTCTGTCAAGCGCTGTGGCCTGCAGATTGTTGAGAGCTTGCGAGGGGACACTGTCGAATCCTGGTAGAGCAGCCTTCCCAAAGTTGAGGATTTCAAGTCGGCTTCGTTTAAGGCATGTCATGAAGCCGCGGATGTCGGTACCCAGCTGCACTTCCAAACAGAACTTGGCGGAGGCAACGCTTGGCATTTTTCGGCATGTTTGGCTTACTATGCTTACTCCACAGCGTAACATAAGGGAGCAGCTTGGATGGGGTTTAGTCGTGTTTAGTCCCTCGTCTCGCCCAGAGTCACTGCCTGTTATGCCTCTGTTGTTCCGCCGCCCCGTTGCCCGGCCCGACTAGGCGCTAGTGTAGTGTAGCCACCCTGAGACGGCTACGGGTCCAGCATTTTCAAAGTGGAGGCGTTTCGCCTCCTCGCTGGATCACAGCAGAACTGCGTCCTAGTGAGCGATGAGAAGGACACGGAGGCTGGGGATGGCTGGGCCACAGGATTAAAGCTTCTCTGGGCCAACAGTTCTAAAGAACTTGTTGAAGTGCTGAGGGCCAGGGGCATCCGCTTGGCTAAGCTGCCAGCAAGCTATCTTGTAGTCTTCCCCAGCAATCTGAGGCTTGTCAGGAAGACAAGCCCGACACGGACTACACAAAGGGTGCTCCTTTGTCTGCCAAAAACTGGTTTTGTTTGAATCTGCTTGGGGAGGTTCTTTGTCAGGGCTTGCGAAGCTTCAGCTCTTGGAAGAAAAGTTAGCAAGATTCCAGCTCTTGGAAGAAGGAGGCTTGGAAGATGGAGAGATCGGTCAGACTTTTCAGGTGTCGACGCATGTGGAAACGATGCTGGCTTTCTCGTAGAAGATCTATGGGGAGAACGGGACCTCACCTCACCGCGCGAACTAGTACATTCATGAGTTATGCCGACGTGCCGGTGGATATGGTTGCGGATGTCGGACGAGCGGGAGGTTAGAATGGTTAGAAGTCAGGGAGCACAGGGCCGGGGTTTTGTAACACGAGGAGGATACTGCGAGACTGGGGTCCGCGGCTCGTCAATGGAAACACATTGCTACAGCAGATGCGTTTGCTCCTCGGATTGACGAATACTCGGGTGATGTGGGGGTGCGTGAAGGGCTGGTTTTCTGCCTATTGCTGTGTCCCCACCCAGCTGTGAAGGACGGATAGGAAACATAGGAAACTCGAGAACAGTGGGCCAATTTGTTCACAATAGACAGGCGCTGGCCGACAGGATGCAAGGCATTCCCTTGCTACCTTAGGTCCAACGGAAATCAAAAATAAGCTACCCAAAGGCAAAGTACTGGGTGGACTGTTATGCAGCACTTTCCCAATACTCGCTTTATTCAGAGAGTTGCTGCATCAAGCCACAATCCAAACCCTAAACCCTAAACCCTAAACCGAAACCCTAAACCTAACCCTGAAAGCTGTCCAAGTTGTCAGAAGGTGGAAGAAAGATCCAGTCGCTGGCATCTGCAGCTCGACGATGGCGCCTTCTTTACGGGGCAGAACACCTCTTGGTCGCGGCTGGTTTTGGTTTGGGTTTTAGGGTTTAGGGTTTAGGGTTTAGGGGGTTGAGGGTTTTTTAGGTTTAGTTTTAGGTTTAGGGTTTAGGGTTTAGGGTTAGGGTTTAGGGTTTAGGGTTAGGGTTTAGGGTTTAGGTTTTTTTTTAGACCCTCCAGAGCTCGGGGTACCTGTCCTGCGAGGACGACAAGAACTCTGGTTTCCCACACAGTTGCCGTATTGGTTGCAGCCACTCACTTGCGCGAGCAGGCCGGCCCCGTGCCTCTGCAACACCTACAATAACTGCAACCTAAATGTTCTTCAAGCATGCGATATTGGCATGGGCCCAATTATGGAGGTTTGTTCCATGTTTATGGGGTCTTCCAGTGTCATTTCTTGGGAATCTTTTTTCCTTGGCGATAAGTGCAGGCCACAGATCCCACGTCCCTCGGTTTGTGGTGGCAGCGTGGACCATCGGGACATTTCGTTCGCCTGTGAGGCAGCTTGGAGCTTGGGTCGCAAAAGCCAAGAAGATGAAATGAGGGCCGCCAGCAAGATAGATGGCAGTTCAGTTCGCTTCTCATTATGCGCTTGCACACGGGACCCGGGATTATCCAGAGTTGGCGCTAGGAGGACCTTGTAGAGACCTTTTGGACCGCGAAGCCCTGCGGAGCTGTTGCGATATTCAAAGAGAAGAAAACCCGGCAAGCAGGTCTGCTGCTTTAGGCAGCTGTTTGCACTCTCTGACCAAGGTAGTCTGTCTGTCTTCAGTGAGCAAAGAGGTAAGGAGTCGGAACAGGGTGAACAGCCCAAGGCTGCTGCCGACAGAAGGTGCCATTCCCGCCCCCTCTGGAAACTGGATCTTTCTCCGCCCCACAGTGGGTGTGTTGTGGGAAAACAAGAAAAGGCTTAGAAACATCGACAGAAGAGAACACTCGGGCAGGCAAGTTATGTCGACCGAAGCCTTCCGGGGTGACCTGATTCGAAGCATCCGGGTTTTGCAAATTCTTCCATTTCGGCACCAAACAGCGGCAGCAGCGGCAGATGCTTGTGGAAGCCGTTGAGTAGGTTTTTTTTTTTTTTTCTAGTATCAGCATGTCATGAGGAGAGAGGAGAGGGAGGAATGAGAGAGAGGAGAGTTGGAGTGAACGAGCGCCGACCTCATGAAGACAGAACGGAACGGAAAGGATAGGGACAGAAAGAAATGAAATAAGAAAGAAAGAAGGACATGAAGCAGAGAGCGCCAAACAACTACAAACAAAATACCGAAAAAGACAGACAGACAGAAGACAGACAGAAATGCAGAAGAGAAATGCCAGAAGAAAGGGAAAAAACCAGAAGAAAGATAGAGAAAGAAGGAAATTAAAGCAGTTAGTTAATTTGTAAGCGAATAATATGATGATAATAATTTATTATTATAAATAAACCTAGAGAAATTAAATTGAAAGAACGAAAGAAAGGGAGAACGCGGGGTTAAGGTGGGGCAAAAATCTTGCCCAATGCCCGCATGCCCAGCAGCAGAAGAAGAAGAACAAGGAAGAAGAAGGTGGATAAGGAAGAGAGAAGGGGATGGCGGAGGAAGCGGGAGGGAGGACGTGCGCGAGAGGGCCGATGAGTTGGAAAAGAAGAGAGTGGGAAGAAAGATGGAGAGCGAGAGGGGGTAGGTGAGTGGGGGTGAGGATCGAGAGAGGGGACCGAGAGTATCGGATCGAGGCTGAGTGGGAGATAGTTCGTGGAGATGAAGCGCACCAGAAGAGAGAAAAAAAGGTGAAGGAAAAAAGGAAGGGGAGAGATTAGGAGGAGGAGGGAGGAGGAGGAGAGGAAAAAAGGGAGGAGGAGTGAAGAGGGAGAGAGGAGAAGGAGAAACAGAGATGAGGGCCCACGACAGCAAGAACTTGTGGCTCATCGCGCCCTTTGGGGCGGTCGCGGCCATCCCCTTTCTCTCTTCTGGGGGGTTCCTAGCGTTCGAGATGAGGACAGCGAGGAGAGGGGAGAGGGGAGGGCAAACCTAAGCAAAGCCACGGCCCACCCCGCTTTTACTACTAGATCAGAAGCCCTTCGGATGTGCGCGGCTCTTCGCGGGGGCAGCTACCCTCGGGGGGAGGGGGGCTGAGAGGAGATGAGGAGACGGAAAGCAGAAGGAAGAAAAGAAGAAGAAGAAAGAGAAGAAGAAGAAGGGAAAGGACAGAAGAAGAGAAGAAGAAGAAGAAAGAAGAAGAAAAGATGACGAAGGAAAGAAGCAAAGAAAGAAAGAAAGAAGGAAGAAAGAAGAAAGAAGAAGAAGAAGGAGAAGGAAGAAGAAGAAGAAGAAGAAGAAGAGGAAGAAAGAAAGAAAGAAGAAGAAAGAACGAGAAGCCGAGAAGAAAGGAAGACAGGAAGAGAAGAAGGAAGAGAAGGAAGAAGAAAGAAGACGAAGACGAAAAAGCAAGGAAGAGAGAAGAAAGAAGAAGAAGGAAGGAGAAATAAGAAGAGAATAAGAAGAAGAAGAAGAACAAGAAACTATTAAAAAAAGAACAATTCAAGAATATAATTTTTTGAAAACAAAAGAAGGAGGAAGAAAAGAGAAGACAAGAAGAAGAAACCAACAAGAAGAAAATAGAAAAGAATAATAAGAAGAAAGCACAAGATGAAAGCAGAAGCAGAAGCAGACGAAGCAGGAAAAAGAAAGAAAGAAGAAGAAGAAGAAGGAAGAAGAAGAAGAAGAAGGAAAAGAAGAAGAAGAGAAGAAGAAGAAGAAGAGAGAAGACGGAAGAAGAAAGAGAGGGAAGACGAGAAGAAAGAAGAAGAAGAAGAAGAAGTAAGAATGAAGAAGAAGAAGAAGGAAGAAGGTTAGTAGAAGAAGACGAAGAAGAGAAGAAAAGAAGAAGAAAGAAGAACGAAGAAGAAAGAAGGAGAAGAAGAAGGAAGAAGAAGAGACTAAGAAAGAAGAATAAGAAGAAGAAGAAGGAAGGACGAAGAAAGAAAGAAGAAGAATAAGAAGAATAAGAAGAATAATAAAATGAACAGTATAACACGAAGAGGTCATGGAAGCGAATGTAGAAGAGAGAGAAGGGGTGCAGACCATGCAGGATGGAGGACGAGGCGGGGGTGCCACCAACGCAGGTTGACGGCGAAAGGCCGCCTGACACAAACATCCTTGAAGACCCCTTGGACACCAGGGGCCCCCGACTATGAGGTCGACACGACACTGGGGTCCCCGGAAGCCTTGCGATCATCGCGAAAAGGGACCCGCCGAATAGAGTGCACATTGATTAGCGCTCGCAAGGGGGCTCTCAAGTTCGCAGAAGAACAGGAGACAGCGGACCCGCATCCGAGGAGGCGCCTGGCTGGGCTCTCGCCCTCAAGCACTCAGAAGATGAAGAAGAAGCAGAGGAATGGGCGAGGGCCTCAAACTGAAGGTGCCATCCGGCCTTTCTCTCCATGGCTTCCAAGCCCCTCAGAAGAAAGGAAGGAAGGGAGGGAGGGAGGAAGGAAGGAAGGAAGGAAGAACGAAAGAAACACAGAGAGGCAGTGGTAGGAAAGGAAGGAAGAGGGGCTGAGCCGGGTCCTGTCATTGTGTAGAAGAGAGAAGCAAGGAGAGCTACATCATTTCGACGGAGCAATGCCAGTTTTCAATGCCACAGCCTTGCATTTACAGTGGGAAGGCAACTCAAATACTTTAGCGGCCAACGGATGAGCCATGGACACGGCAGTGGACTCGCAACATCTGCAGCTGCTTGAGTTGAAGACCCCAATGCACGCTTGAGCTTGCAGACTCGGTCTTGTTCCCTCACATGATGCCTCAGCTTTTCAAGCTGTTTCACCGTGGCCATTTCAGAAATAAAACGAGCGCGGGGGCTTTGTAGGAATTCAAACGCAAATATGCGCAAACCCTTCGGGGAATAGCATGGCGCGCATCATGGTACGACCACGAACCAGCTCAATTACAGTGGCTACCAGTTGTGCAAATCTGCACTAGTGCTATATAGAGATACTTGTCAGTCTCCTGCAAAACCGTTGGTGTCCGTAGCAGTGCTTGGGATTTTGGTCGAATGCGAAGATTCGCAGATACTTTCTTAATTGCAGATATCGGTCGGCCATAAGCACTTGGACTGAAGTCTTCCTGCTCCATGCTAGTGTTTGAAGTGAGCTTTCTCTTCAAGATCGACTCCGGTGCACATCCTGCGATGAGGTGCAACGGCCACTGCGCCTGGCGCAGGTTCGACGCAGGGAATCCTGAGAGAGTGGGGGCTTGATGATGCGAGCCATTTCAGTTTGGGAAACAATGAGACGAGTTTGCACTTAATTAAAAAGCTGATCGTAGCTGCTTCCTGCTGCGCATCTTGTTTTGGTACGAACGCAGCAAGACGTCTTGTAGGCAAGCTGCGAACTGAAGCTTGACCCAGCTCTTGAGTTCTTGCAAGAACGATTTTCAATCATTCGTTTTCTGGAATTCTTCGACTCTGCAGCCGCACGAGTTCTTGCATGGAGCATGGTTTGATCTCCTCGTGGTTTTCGTGCTCAAAGGCCCAAAGCCTAGACCCCCTAATTGATGGAAAGCAAGAACCGAAAAAAACAACTTAGGGGCCAACGACAAATCCGAGCCGTTCTTGAATCAAGTATTCCAGCCAGACAGAAGCCACAGGAATGGGTTGAGGCCCATGGGCTAACTGGCTTTCCTGTCTGTATTGGGCCATCTAGGGCTCAATGGGCGGGAGGCTACGGGTAAAGTAAAGCGTTTCCTGTTGGTGAACTCAATTCGAGCTGAGCGACCAAACATGCGTTGACATGATGGTCAAATATCTTTCCCTCTAACAGTCTCCATCCATCTCTCTATGAATCCTTTAAATCGTACGTATATGTCTACACACACACGACAAATTTTTCTACAATGAGTGAAATGGATGCAATGTCTTCAACCTCAGTAGCTGTTGCTGTTTTGCACCTCTTGCAGCTCTGCCATCTTGAGGTGAATGTGCTGGTTGGCTGTCAAGCCGCTATCTTCATGAAGCATGAACAGCACGCACAGCAGCTTGACCGTCTTTGTTGCGCCTGACAGGCCCCACTGCCGGCACCGTGCAGGCTAAGATGGGGCTCTGTGCTTCCGGCGTTTAATTGAGAAAGGAAGCTCGTGCAGTAGCTGAGGAATGGTAAGAAGGATGCGCTTGCTGCAGAACCTCGGTCTAGACTGGCCAATGTTCGCGCTTGGCTGGCGGAGGCGCGGCACGGTGCCGTCGAGGCTGTGGCTTCGCTGGTCGAGGTTCTGCAGGCCCCGTGATGGGCTGTGTCGCCGCCTGCAAGAGCTGAAGGTAAACGATGAAGGCTTGGCCTCGTCGCAGGAGAAAGTCGCAGCCGAGAACCAGACCGCGATCCGAAACTTAGCCTGGAACCCTCCGAGGGTGGTTTCCTGCAACATGTCATGTGCACAGTTTTTTAAGAGCCACTCGCAGTTGGCTTCGAGGTCCCCGCCCTAGAGAAGGCGCGAGCCTACCGTGGCCGCGGGGGTGAAGTCATCCGCCAGGCGCGGGAGAGATGCGGAGGAGTATGCTGTTGGGTTTACGTGAGGTTGGCTTGGCTTCATGGGATTTCTTCGGAATGTCTGGAATGCAGAATGCATTATATTTGGGCGAGGTTAGAATTGAACAGCTGTATCAACTCTTAAACCAGGTGTAGATTCCAGATGAGTCTAGGGCTCCTGTTCGGGGTCCACTGGCAAGTTTCGTTCACAGAGCTCGGCTGCAACCTCAGGGTTGTTCAACAACTACCAAACAGGTCTGCCTGCAAAGAGTTCTTGAGCCCTTGTTTCAGCTTCCGTCCGGCTCCGGTTGTGCGGGAGGCCGCCTGCCGCTTGCTGCAGAAGATCGCGGCCACGCCTTGGCCTTTCAAAGACGCTACCGCGGCAGGGGGCCCCACAGCGCCGGGACATGCCGGGACAACTGAGCACCGAAGTGGCGCACACGAGGGGCTTCCCGGGCTCCTGTGAGGTGCGGTACCTTCAAACCGTCGATGAGCCGCGGGCCCAGCGCCGAAGACCTCATAGGTTCTGGGGTTGAGACTCAGCACTCATGGATCATCGGCGGTATGCCTGACTTCTCCTGTGCATGAAGCAGTGCAGTCCATTTACCAGTCCCGCTGTGTGTTCCCTACTCTGTTTCCAATTCTAAGGTGCGCGCGGCACACGACGGAGGCCGAAGCCCCCCAAACTCGCTCCCACTGACTCAAGCGCACTTGCAGACTGCCCTGGAAGGCCATCCGTGTTGTGGCCGCCGAAGCATTGGGTGTTCTGGCAGCGGCGAGGCTCTTGCGGTCCACTTTGTCCGGATATTGGGCTGTATGGAGATCCGATCCTGACCATGATCAGGTTCAAACCAGAGCTTTGCAGCAAATGCGCCCCGAACTTGCAGTGTCAGAGAGTCTGCAAGGTACAGATCGACAAGCCTACATGAGAGATGGCCCACAGTCTGAATCCTCAAGATAGCAATACTGCTTGCCGTGTAGTTATTCGTCCCGCTCCTTGAACTAGCAGCTCCGGTACGCAGTTCATCAAGCCTGAATCCCGGAATCATGAATGATCTGGATGCTGTTCAGCTCTAGCGAAGAGTGACATGTCGCAAATGGCACTACCAAGATTGCAGGCATTCCGCAGGATCAATATGTTGTAATAGTTAGTTGCTGTGCTTGGATGGTTTGAATGCACTGATCCCCAACTTGTCAGAATTGGTCTTTTCGTTGTCGCTGATGTATTGTTGGGGTCCAGGTTTCCAGCATTCTGATTCGGCTTACCGCGACTTTGCCGAGGTGGACACCTATCTCAGAGGTCTGCAAAAAGCGGACGAAACGATTGCTGGCAGGCCGAGAGATCGGCATTGATCCTTGTATCGATCTTTAAAACGAGTAGCATCTGCAACTTTGGTGTAGAGGCGTGGCCACACGCTCTGCCTTGGTGCGATGCCGATGTCAGCGTTGGCCGAAAGGAGCAACCGGTCATGGGATGACATGGCAGACGGTGGATTCGTGAATCGGGGCTTGAGGTGCATCGGAGTGCGAAGGTGTTCCGCTTGAAGATTCCATGCCTCACCCAGCTTTGGAAGGAGAGCCGACGTGCTGACTGCATTGTGCAAAGAGGTCGGTGGCGAAGAGCAAAGAGTATGTGTTCCTTTGGAGAGAAACGTGCATCCGCCCCCAACCCCTCCAGGCTCACCTACCTCACCCTGCCGGGACTTCGCGTACCCAGTCCTGACCTCCAGCAGCACCGAGGTGCAGGGAGCAGATCTTCCTGGAGGCAAGGACCAGGAGGACAGCGGCGAAGCGGGGGGTGGCAAGTTCATGTGTCCTGAACCGGCAATCCGAGGCCCCGGAGCCCGTGGAGCTTTAGACTGCAGAATTCGGCATGTCGCACCTTCAATCACCTTTTATCAACTGTCTGACTGTACGAGGACCCGACAACACGACAGCCAGGGCCTGATGAGGGACTGATGGGAGGGCCCCGGAACCTCACGGCGACTTGCAGCGTCAGCCTTTCCGACGTGAGAGTTGTGCCCGCAGTCGAGGTATGCAGTGCTGTCCCTGGGCTGCCTTTGCGTCGGCTCGACGCTCTCTCCCGAAGAGATGTCGCTGTTGCTGTCGGCTTTGGAGGCATAGCGCCGCTTGTGAACATGTCTGAACGACTTGCGAAGCGAGAGATCGCTTCTGCTGCTTTGCGCTATGGCTCTGCAGTGCAGGCAGCTATGCGCGACTACGCCACAGACCGCCGTGGCGACGTCGGTTCCTGGGTGCGGGAGGTGGCCATGGAGGCATCTGCTCTTTAGCATCTTTAGCTACGTGTATATTGCAATGATAAAGCTGAAGGCTCACTAAGGCTGACCCGCCAGGTGATCGTGGCAATCCTCGAAGCGCAACGACATCAGACGCGGCCTCAGAGTGGTGTGGCAATCAGATGGCATGATCAGGTTGCTTCCAAGATGCCACTGCTGTTTTGAGGCCGGAGCCGCAACCTGCCCTTCCAGATGCAGCATGCACCACAAAGCTGGTGTCGCTGCTCCTGCAGCAGGCCTCACATCTGGTGAGCGTGTCATCTCTCTTCTCGCCAATGCGGAGTTCCTTCAGACGCACAGCCACAAAGTCAGAACTGTTGGCAGCTGCCTGGTTTTTCGAGGCGGTGGAAAAGATTGATCGCCTGCGTGATCGAGCCTATGGCGGGCTACTCACTTTGCAGCTGCTGACACCCCTTGACTGTTGTCGCCGCTGATGCTGAACGGCTGCAACTGAAACAGTGATCCAATGCATGGGCTCGTAGCTCCTGCAGCCCAGTGACTGCAGTTTTGGACAGCGGCAACATCACTGGGAATTTTGCCAAGTGCAACCGCTTCAACAGTACAGGCAGCTTGATCCGAGGCCCGAGCATTCCTACACCCTGCGGCCCTGCTTCGGCGGTAGCATCCATCAGAGCAACAACTGCAAGTGTAATGAGCATCAGTCAAGAACATCTGAAGACAGAACGCGTCAGTTCCCGAGCTCTCCACAAGCACCAACAGTGGTCCGTCGGCCAGCGGTCGGCTCGCGGCCTTGGCAAACCATTGGTAGGAAGAAGACATGAAGCTAGAAAGCCAGTCCGTCGTCACTGCGCTCGGGACCCCATTCAGCTGCAGTTGCTGTGGCCCCAGGCCTTCTGTGCTCGCTACTCTGCGGTTGTCAGCTTGGCCTGGACTTTGCAAAACGGCGGGCGAAGTCCTCAGTCACTCGCTGGAAGTGCGAACAGAGGACTGAGCAGTGGCGGATCAGGTGCTGGGTGCTGGTTGTCGCGGTGAAAGTAGTGGTAGCATAGTAAGTGACGTAACAGTGGTCGTGGCAGTGCAAAAGGTAGTGGTGGTGCTAGTCATGGTGGTGGTCGTTGTGGTCGTTGTGGTCCTGGCCATCGTCGTGGTGCTAGTCCTAGTCCTGTTGGTCGTAATCGTTGCGGTCGTTTTCTTGCTCTCCATCGGTTTGTACGACGTTTTCAGCACCTGACAAGAGCTGGTCACGAATTTTAGGGTCAAGGCCTACCATAAACCACTAGCAGGAGTAGAGGCAAAAGCAGCAGTAGTAGTGGCACTGCTGCTTGTAGCAGGTCCTCCATGGCGAGTCTTACGATGCGCTTGGTTTGGCTTCGGCTGCACAGGTGGCTCGCTCTGCTGCTGTGCGTGCTTGCTTGCAAACCAGCTGCTGCAGCTTCTTTATTGCAAACGCTTGCACGGCGCCTCGGCTGCCCGGCCGGCCCAATGCGGAAAGAAAGCCAGCCAAAGTTTCATGTCGCTTCGTGCAAAGCCGTGAGTTCAGGAGGTAGGATGGCTTCAGGAGATGTCGGGTTGTCCCAGGAGGGTCGCAGGGGAGTGTCAGGGCTTGCGCTGGCGTCGGGGCGAATCAGATCAGATCGTGGTCTCTTTGTTCCAGATGCCTCGCGGCCGAGGGCCGGCGAATTCTTGTGGGCGGGCTTGGCTGTTCCATGACTTAGTTCATCGGGGCCCAACAGGCCACATAAACATAAAGATCCTATCACCGTGGATCTGCGCCCACCATCATCCAGGCTTTCCAGGAAGGAGCTATCTCATCTACATGCGAGCATGGGCATCTCTTGTTAGTGTGCCGGCCTCATGTTAGGGGTATCATGACTGCACGGTGGGGATTCCGTAGGTGTCGTGCCTTAATTGCATCACCACTAGGCAGGGGATTCTTGGCGGGAAAATATCTGGATCTTTATGTGGCAATTAAAACACAAGCGAGCAAAATTTTGTGAGGGAACGCTGAAGGAAAACGCAAACCCACGTAAGGATCCAACTAAAAAACTCAGGATTCCGCAGCTGGTTTCTGCGGCTCTGGTGCCCCAAGATACGACCGTTCCGTAAAACCGTAGACTCGCTACACTGCTGCTCCCTCTCCTGCAGCAGTAGGAAAGCACCCATTCCAGCTAACTTTTTAACGTTGCGGCAAGTGTGCCTGCAGAGACTGTCCTGGATGCCTGCAAGATCTTCATGTGGAAATTTCTTTACCTGTCCAATTTCTTCCCTATTTCACCAGCCCCACGGCCTGTCGAGAACCTGAGGAGAAAGCTCCTGCGCCAGCTCGATCCACCTGGCCGCCTGCAGAGGCAGCCCGGCCGGTGAAGCGATGTTCGAATGGTTTCGTGACTGGAATCCCTCGGGGGCTGTCGCGACCAGAATTTGTCGTGATGCGGTTCAATCAGGACTGGTTCGATGCGCTCGTAGAGGTTTGCGGTTCCTATAAAAATAAGCAATCGCATCGGATGCAGTTCGTTTGGGTTGGAGTTCGATGCGGTTCCTTTCGATTCGTGTTCCGCTTCCTGCAAAAGCCGCAACCTCCCCCCCCCTCACTCCCGAGGCAAGACACATAGTTTAGGGTTTTTGCGCAAAGAGATTAACAGGTTTTTCGCATACCTCAGAGGAATACATTTCCAGCATGTCTGGGAAGCAACAACCTCAAAACGCGGACTCCCCCGCATCCGGCTCCTCAGCACGGAGGCAAGGTGACCTGGGAGTTCAGAGGCTTCCAGAGCCTGTTCCTGGGGGGAGGACCCCAAAATTTGCCCGGATGGACAACTATTTGTATGAAATTCTTGATTAGACTCGCCAGTTTCTGGGTCCCTTAGCCTTACGTGTCCGGATTTCTGCCCGTTTCTCTCGTTTCTTGAGCGGGGTGATTTTCGGCATCCTGTGTGGTTCTTAAGCGCTGCATGGAGAGCTGAGTGTGCAGAGGCTTCCATCATCCTTCGGCTCAAAACAGCCCGAAAGCCTTTGCGCCCGAAAAAGCCTGAAAATCAGAGTCTTAGGGTTAGGGGGAGGACCCCAGGATTTGGCCCCACTGCTCATCCATTCATGTCCTAAGCTTTCTGAACATCTACAACTCAAGGCCCCTGCCCCGTCTCGTCGGGTTTTTGCCCGCGTCGTTCTTGTTTACGACTCCCCTGGTCTCTAAGGCCTTACTTCTAAACTGCTTTGTCCAGCGTTTACAACTCACGGTTCGATTCGTTAGTGCGGTTCGATTCGTTTGCTGATTTGCCGGCCATGCGTTTCGATTCGGTTCGTTAGTTTATTTTTGCGATTCCTTGCGGTTCGTGCCCAAACGGTTCCTTTCCCGGTTCCCGTTTCGATTCCCGACTTTCCTGTTCAATGTTGTCAGGTGGATCAGCTGTCGGGTTGCTTTCAGCCTTTCAAGCCGGCCGCCCGCTGAGTGCTGGTGCGAGTGCTCGAGCCTGCAATTCAATGAAAGTCAGGCGTATTCCATCTAGCTATCGTGCAGTCCGATATATGACCCCCGCTTTCACCAGGGCAGATCAGGGCGTGTGTGTCGGTGGTGGTAGTTGAGGCAAATCCAGAACCTGCCCGAGAAGGCAAACCAGAGGTGGAGGCGGGGGAAATAACTTCGTGGTGGTGGAGCTTCACATGGCTCAGTGGAACTGGGTACTGGGGGAATGGCGGTCTTTCCTGTCAGGCAGATCGCACTGCGGTCTTCGATGCACTGACACCTCTGCTAGCAGTCGAGGACTGGCGTGGGAAGTCAGCTGCAGAATGCTGCAGGAACGTGTTGGCGAGCCGGGGCTTAGGGCTCTGCTTGCAAGCGCTGCCTTTGCAGGAGTATCGACCCTCGCTACTCCTTGGCTTGGTGGTGTCTGTCGGTGGGATCACAGAGCATACTGCCAAGGACAGTGCGATTTGCCAGACAGGTTCTGTCGGAAAACTTGAGGCATCTTCAGGTAACATTTGAGTACCCGAAGAGCTTTGTGCAGGAAGCCAAGAGAGCGCTCTTGCGGCATTTGACGTCGGAAGGCTCTCAGCAGCAGGTGGCCTTGGAGTCGAAGGGCGCTGTTGTTGTCTCTTTTCTGTACAAGAGTGAGGCCCGAGTACTAGCCCATGTGCTGCGAGTACTACAGTTGATGGACCTGGAGCTGCGGAGGTCTGCCGGGAGCTTCTGTCGATCTTCGACCTGGCGGGTTTCAAGGATGCGGCTGCCGAGGTGGGGAGCTTGAGCGCCCCGAGTGGATCCCGACAGCCAAGGTACTTCAGTGTACTGTAGCCCCATCTGCAGCACCTCTTGTTGCTCATGCATGCTCGTAGACTCGTAGAGCTCGCGAACAAAAAAATTGCCTAAGTTCTGAGGCGAAACGGCTGTTCCTGACTCAGCTCATTTCACTTCTGTCGAGTGACGTGCAAGTGTTGTTATCAAGGCATCAAGTGCCAGTTCCAATCAGTTCAAGGTGTGTCCCTACAGACATGTTTCGGTGCTCAGGCTGGTGCCTTTGTTGAACACGACGGGCATCCTGCTCGCTCAGGACAGTCTTACGTGTATGTTTCGGCATACTCAGAGGGCATTGTGATCATAGAATCGTCGACGTTGGAGCATGGAACAAGCGGGAGATGTGGCTTCTTCATGCTTTCCGCGGCAAAGTCAAAGCCAGGATTGCGTTCCCTTCGAGTTCGCACGCGACATCTTTGATCGAGCTGCCAGGGCTGTGCGAGCCACAGCGTTTTGTGCCTGTAGTCACTGTAGTCACTGTAGTCACTGTACTCACTGCAGTCACTGTAGTCAAGCCAGCATAGCGTGATTGCATGTTGGAGACGCAGGCTGTTGCAGTTGGAGCATGCTGACTCAGTGTTGAAAGAACCAACAACCAGACTTCTGGCTTTTGCGTTTTAGGAGAGACCATGTCTTTACCTTGTTTGTCTTGTCAGACGACTCAGTTTGTTCCGAAGCTCCGCGTGAGTTCGGCTGCCCAGCAAAGCGGCTCCCCTTCCGCTGTCCAAACGCCAGCAAGGTCCGAAACTCGCGGGACATTGGTCGCTTGCGAGCATCCGTGGCACGCCCTCCCAGCAAGAGTTTCAGTGACGACTGCAGCCAATCTTCAAGTTGAATGCTGAATGAACTTGGCTTTGGGGCTGGGATGAGCAAGGTCGGTCAACATCCTCACAGAAGAATGACATGTTCGGGGAAGCATCTAGCACAGCGCATTCGGTGAGTAACAGCCTGAGCTGTTGACATCAGGCTGTCTTCGTCGGTTTGATGAAGTGGTCCCGCCGCCGCGCTTGTTCGAGAGGCTTGATACAAGACATGGTGTGGAAGGCCTCGCACATCCTCCCATCGACCTCGCTTAAGACCTGGGATTGAAGCCTTGAAAATGCTGGAAAATGCCTTTGTCCCCCCCCCCCCCCGCCCCCCTCCCCAAGCTATAGTGCGCCTTGGAAATTCCCATACACGCCCTACATGTTGGTTGATTGATCTGACTTCTGGAGTTCGCTTCGTTTGGGTTTAGGCTAGCAAGCTGCCCCTACAAAAAACCCACTCCCCGCATGACAGGGTTGGCACCCTGCGCCGGGAGGCACTTGGCCTGCTGCTTCAGTGCCTCGGCATCTTGCAAAGACTCAGGGAGCCAGAAGATACAACTCCACACCCCACACTTTCCACTTTCCGGAGCATTGCGCAAGGTTCCTTGGCTACAGCTTCCCTACAGTGCAGGGCCAAGCCTCCTGATCAGCGGGAAAGGGGTCACGTGGTCTCGTTGAATCATCGCTCGCTTGGTCTTCTTGGTCTCTACATCTTGAGGCCCTGCAAACCTCAGCCCTGTAACTACTTTAACCCTCAGCACCCAAACAAACCTGAGGGTGGCAACTCGCTAAGCCCTTAGATAAGAAAAGCCCTAAGCCTTCAGCCTGAAACGATCCGCCTCAAGCACCTGAAGGGCTAGCGTAAGCCCCCAAAACCCTGCAAGCTCCATGCTGAATGCGGACTGCACCTCGAGCACCCAAAGCCTGACCTATACCCCTCAACCCCAAGCCCTCACTGCCTCACCTAAAGCCCGTGGCCTCAACCGCCACCTGGAGCCCTAAGCCAAAGCTGACACCCCAAACCGAAACCCTGAGAGGCACCAACTTCGTGATTCCAAATTGAGATAAATTGACTAAGTGATGGGATGAGGTGGCGTGGGGTTGGACCACAGCCCGGCAAGCGATTGTCTACTAGAACGGGTGAGTTTCAGGGAATGCCCGTTGCAATCCAATAGGTCCACCTGAGGTTGGGAGTCCTTGGCTTTTGCACATGGCTTTAGTGTCAGCCCTCTGAGCACGCCGGATGTTTCCGTTCCGCAGTCTTTCGTGTGGAGGTGCGCCAGGCCACCGCCCAGGCACTCTACATCAGGCAGAGCGGGGGGGTGTGAAGCGGTCTCAGAATGGCCCCTTGGATTCGGTAAGTGGTGCATCACAAGAAGAATGCGTTTGGGCTTCGCGGGTTGTTTTCTTAGACAGCCGGACCTTTCGGTGTCCCGCTGGCCTGCAGAAACATCTCCTGCCCAGATGGACTCGGGCCACCCACTTTAAAAGATCTTTGCAACCGGGCTTCCAACTGCAAAACTGTAGCTTCGGCAGGCTTCTGGAAGAAGAGGGCGACCTCGACCTGTCCGTGGATTTTTCACAGGCGACTGTCGACCGGCTTCTCCAGAAGTGGTGGTTCAGATCTGATTGTATCGCGTTGTATCGCGATTCTCCGCCTGTCGAGCTCCTTTCCTTCTTTCTCACTGTGATCAGGATTCAAGGAACTCACGCAGTTTCTTACGGGAGCTGGTGAGCTCAGGGTTTGCTTGCTCCGATGCTCGAGGCCGGCTATGCCTCCTTAAATCCGGAGGACACGAATGTCTCAGATCTCAGCTGATTGCCATCTGCTTGAGGGTGGCCCTGGAGACTTGCATGTTTTCCGCCCATGGGTACAAGACAAGACGCCCTGTGCAGCGTGTGCTTCGAGGTTCACGGTGCCCTCGTCAAAGCAGAGTCGGTCGCTGAGGTCGGGGAGCCTACGCTGTCTTGTGCAAGTGTTTGCTCCACACACTTCCTCCGGCGGCAGCTGTCAAGCGGAGCTTGTGCAGCAACCTTTCAAGACAGTTTCAAGAAGCGCTGTCGAGAAACAAGCGCCCCAAGCTTGAGGCCCTGGAGCTCGTCTCAACAACGCCCTGGGCCACGGATGATGATGCCACGCTTGGAGCTGCACTGATGGAGGTGCCCCCTCGCAGAGAGAGGGGTGGTGATTCAGAGAACTGTGCATGGCGCAGTGCTCTTGAGCGAGACATGGTTCGGTGGGGCAAGAATGTCTCATGTCTCAGGTGTATGCGAAGCTGCAGATGGAGCTTCCCAGCAGCGGACGGTCGATCCTTGCGCCAGGGTCTTTGGTGGGGTCCGTTCTTGGTTGGGGCGACCACAAACTCAGAGCAGCACTTGACCGAGGCCAAAGAAGCCCAAGGAAGAGCGCCCGCGGGAGGTGGCAACTAACTACTTGAGGAAGGGATTGACAATCAAGGTTAGAATGGTGGTGGGGTCTGAGCGTGCCGCTTGCTTCCTTGCTGAGATAGGCTGAAAGTATTAGCCAAGGCTCCTCTGTTGCCTGCATCACCAGGGTTCACAACGATTGTGAGGCCCAGTACGCTGACCTCGTGCGTGAGAACCACTACTGACAGCTGTAAGGAAAAGGACGTCACTGCATCTCGGGTGGGGCAACGTGACTTAGGGCACCTCACCACGTAGCAGAGCTCTGACAGTGAAAGTTCTGGAAGACAGGAAGCTCGCGATCCAAGAGCAAAAAGCATGAGAAGGCTTAGGATACTCATGTCCCCGTATCTTATGCAGTCCTGAAGTGACCCAAGTGCCCCAGGCGCAAGTCCTCAGCGCAGCGCAGACGATGTAATCACACCCTAAACTAAGTCCTCGACCCAGCTGAAAGGTTCCCCGTGCTACCGGGTTTCTTAGAACATACCAGACCCTTTTTTAGTATCAACATCGCGTGAAGATAGATGCCAGCCATGGACTTCCGATGCTTGCGATGCCTGTGCCTGGCAATGTGTGTGGCAGACGGCTTGGCTCCACCAAGGCACCTTCGTGTGTGAGAGCCATTGAGAGCCCAGTCTGAAGGCCCCCGCCCTCCAAAGCCGGAATTCGGAGGGGATGGCAGGTGGCAGCGCCTTGCAACCGGCGCGATTCAGCCGAGTGGCTGGCTGAAGACGCAGATGCAACTTCAGGTGCTCTGGTATCGCGGTGTCATGCAACAATACTATCAAAGGCGAACCACCAAACTGCCCATGCATTGCAGCCGGGTGTTTTTACCATCCTCCACCTGTGGCCCTAAGCGCTTCCAAAATATGTTAACTTGTTACGCTGTCTTTGGCGGGGGGAGTGGGGTCGTCTGACCAGATTCGTGGCGCCCATGTTGTGGAACAGTCAACTTCCTTGTTCTTGGTTCTCTCTCAAAGAAGCAAGGCAGCCGTTGCCTAGGATCAGCATACGTGGCGGGCCGGGCGTAGAACGTTGGAGATTGCTTTGCGGTTGCCTTCGTTACGGGTGCAGCTTGTTCTGTAAGCTCCGGCTGGGAGGCTGCGGCCCTGACTTCACACCTGCCACTCTTCTGGGACAACGTGCCTGGTATTGAAGTGGAGCACAACCCAAGTCTTCAAGGTCTTCAATCTGCAGTCTTCGATAAGAGGCAAGTTACTCAGGAGCGATTGTAGACAGCTTAGATCTCTCCCTCTGAGACATTCCAAGACCCCTGAACTGTAGACAAGAGTGGCAGTGCAGCCGTGAGTGTCTGGAGTGGGCACGTGGGCCTTGCGTGTGTCTTCTGTGATGTGCAGTCGTAAATTGTGGGCAACTCCGACCTGAAATGCGCGCGAGCCAAAGTCAGAAGTGAGAAGCCAAAGGCCCAAGTGAAGCACTTCGGCATTCTACTGAAACCCCTAAACCCTAAACCCAACAGTGACCTACAGTGCCCAGGTCCAGAATACTTCTTGGCTCGGTGGCAACGCTGAAGCTCAACTTCAAAGCCCGAACTTGGGATGTTTTTCCCGGTCCCCGTACAGTAGCTTGTTGATCTCGGATCTCTCTCTTCTTCAGGATCGTTGAGATTTATTTAGACTAATGGACATGGTCAGTTATCTAAAATTAAGGTCCCTCTGTGAGCACCCTAAATACCAGCTAAGCACCCCAAAAGCAACATATCGTAGAGAAGTGACCAAATCCTTTTTGGGCTGAGCTGTTGCAGCCTGAGCATGCATGATGCCATCCTGTACCATGTACGTATAGTCCGTATTTTGGTACATTTTAGTATATCTTAGTGTATTTTAGTAGACTTTAGTATATTTTAGTGCAGCATCGGCTTTTCAGAGGACAACGTCGGGGGAATCCATGAGAGCACGCCGTACTGGCTGAATGGCGCGGTGCCACTAGCAGTGCAGCTGCAAGACGAGGAGACTCGTCTCAGTCTTCTGGGTCATTAGGGTCATTAGGGTCATTAGGGTCATTAGGGTCATCAAGGTCATTAAGGTCATTAAGGTCACTAGGGTTTAGGGTTTTAGGGTTTAGGGTTTAGTCGACTGGAGAAAGCACCGAACATTGCGAGGCCTTATTGCGGACTGTGGAGAAGTACATGGACGGTATTCTCGACAGGCCCGCTCTCACTGGGCTCAGCGTGGCCATGCCTGCGGTATCATGCTATATAGGGCTGTCCGAAAATAGGGGCACCCTTTTTGGGGATCCCCTTGAGGGGATTCTACTCTATTTGGGGCCGAAAAGGGGGGAAATAGCTGCCTGTGAGGCAGACCCAGGAAGGCTGGCTCGGGCCGGACACAGACCGCTCGGACTTCTGGTCGCGCCCCTCGGCTGCTCTGTGTGGCCGCGAGAGCCGCAGGCAATTTCGAATGTTCCGGGGATCGGGGTGTTCTTCGACATGGGGCTGTTTCCAGAGGGCAGTTTGTGTACCACCGCTCGCGCTTTCTCATCTTGGCTTGCTGAGCTTTGCTTAGCAGCATGGCCCAAGGATACCCCTTTCTCATGGCCATGGTCCAGCACCACGAGGCGCCTGCTGGGAAAGGTGTCCATCGTGTGCCCCCAGAGTCCAGGCACCTCGTGTGCGGACCTGGGGTCTCCGGTCTTTTTTTGGAAGCCACGTGACATGTCCCTGCGGGAGCACTGGGGGCACGTTGGTGGGTACAGTATGGATCTGGTATACGGTATACAGGTCCAAGCAACGCTAGTGTGCGGTTGCTGCGAATTTGTAGCAGGCATCTTGCATCTTCTTGGCAACTCACCCAGCATACTCAGGCGCTGCGACCTGGTGCGAGGCGCAAGCGCATTGAAGAGGATCGGCCCAGCAATCCCAGTGGCAACGCCGACCAATTCTCGGCATAAGTGGCAAAGCAAGAGTTACCACAAAAGCAGCTACCATAGAAGTCGTGGTGATGTAGTGTTATTACACGTTGCCTTGTGTTTTGTTACGACCGTTCGCCTCGTTCGCCTTGCTTGGAGATGGGGTTGGAGTCCGAAGTCTCTGAAGCCGTATACCTATACAAAACTGCAAAGCTGCACGGTTTGCATCGGCACTCTCCTTCAACTCCTTCCTTGCATGCTCCGTACAGGAGTACACACAAGTGTAAACCGAGTCCAGACCTGTGCAGACATGTCCAGACCTTCGCGCCAGAGAACATTGCGGAAATGCCCAACATGACCCAACACGCCATTAGAGTAATCATTAGAGTATTCATTTCAGAGAATCGTTAGAGTACTTATTAGAGGGCTCGAGAGGCCGCTCTGCGGTTCTTCGCCGCCGTGCGCCAGCGGCTTCAAGGCTCGGCACTCAAGTGATGCCGTGTTGACGTAGAATTTCACGTCTGTAGACTCATCGAGCTGTCTAGGGCTTAGGGAGACGAGTGTAGCTGCCGGTCCCAACTCGAATGGAAGCTGTCGCAAAGCATGTGTATGCCAGAGTTAGGTGGCGTGCCTCTGACTTCATGGTCTTCCTTTCGGGCACATGACTTGTACCTCGGCGCAACGCGGGACCCGCAAGAACGGATGGGGACTTCAAAGAGTCGGCTCCTCGTGCCAAACAGCTGGGCCGCTTGGAAGGGGAGGAGCATGCTGTTCGTAGCCCCGCAATCGAAGTATATGTCACGTCATTTGGACTTCCTCGAGAAGCTAAAGGTCGCCTAAAGGCCGCTCAACATTGCTCAACTTAATTTGTGATGTGGCTGCACAATGCTGCACCAAGGATCTGGACGATCCATTATTTCCTCGACGCACTGCAGGGGCGCCCCGTCTATGCTCCAAGCATTCCATTCATCCATTTTTTACACTGGTCGGCCCACGACTCTCGACTTGATTCTGAAGAAATTACGCATGTATACACATATGAAGAACTCACATCGTTTCTCAAATGGATCTCGTCGGAGCCGGACCGCTGAACTTTGAATCGCGCAGTCTGCAGCCCAAACCTCTCGTACTGCTGCCTGCTCTTACTCAAGATTTCGGTCCCTTGGGTAGTACATGCACTTGAGAGGTCTGCTGCATCCACGACCCTTCAAGACCTTGCTGCTCTCGCTGAGCACCTGCACAGCCACGGCTTCGACTGGAATGGCTTATGGTGCCACCGCTGATATAATCTCTGATGCGCGGAGATCTAGTATCAAAGGTTACCTAGAATTGAGTAGTGAGGCATACAGTGCATCCGTACATGAACGGGCTTGAGTTTGCCAAATGCAGCCAAGACACATCGAATATCTGCACCTCATCGTGCTAATAGCGATCATGGTGGGGGGTTTGTTGCGGGGGATTGGCCGGGCCTCAATGTGAGGTTCAACTCCAGCAACTTCGCCAAGGAGGCAGATGCAGCTTCCCTGACTTGGTACGAGCCTACTTTAGGGCGACTTTGTCGCAGGCGGTGATCAAGACCTCCATGGAAACCCACGGGGTCAACAATGCTCAGGCCGCACCGGCCAACTCTGCAGCCCATCAGACATGTTGCAGCCTTCCAAGATGCACGTGCGGCTTGCCAATCTTCACCTCATGCACTAAAGACATAAGTCATGATCGGGCTTTTCCGCACAGGCAGTGAAGCATGGCATCGTCTGGGCACGGCAATCTGGCAACGCGACAGAAGGTGCAAATGGAAATCCAATAAAGAGGAATTGGAAACTGGGTACTGTGCCGGCCTTGACCAGGCTGGGCGGAAACCTGGCTGGCCTGGGAGCAGTTGCAACGCTACCACGGGTGCCGGGGGCCATGTTGGGAAAGCATTAGGGCACCATAGGGCACCAGGGATTGTAGTCATTTGTAGTCGCGAAGTCCGGGGTTCATGCTCTTTGCAGCTCTTTCGAAGACGGTTTCGCAGGCAGCCACATGGAGCTTTCGGGGCAGATGAGCATCTTGCAGGTGGGCTCCGACGCCTTGCGACTTCAGGGTTTACACTGGAAGCCGTTGTATGGACGATGCCTACATAATTTTCCATGTTGCTGATACTGAAGTCAACATGGTGCTCGATCATGTTCAGCAATTCCAGGATCAGCCTTCCAATGCCATGTAGTCAAGCCAGAAAGCCAGGCCGTACGCCATCACGTGGAACGGAGCTTTGCGTGGTGGTGCCTTGGCCTTCTCCACGGAAAGAGTCATGGGCATGATCAGACCATTCCGCATCCCCAGGTCGAGTCCATGTGGTCACTGGCGCTGGCCTCCCAGTTGGCCCCCGGGGATGAGGCTGGGCCTGCGGGAGCAGCGTCGCAGCGCTGGGATTTCTGCATCCTGCATCCGGCCTCTTGCAGGAGGCCGTGCTAGCCTTGGATGCCCTGGAGTCTCTGGCCTTCAACGCTCTGCCGGGCAGCTTGAGTGAGGACCTTTGGTCCCATCCGTATCTTCAGTTGCTTGGCGCATGATGGACAGTATGAGAAACATACGAACATATGGGAGGGTTGGAAGGTGAAGGATGCTTTCGCAGGATTCCGCGGCCATGTGCTGTCTATTCTTGCACATGCCTCTCTCAAGGGGGCACTTTGTCTCACCCAGGTTTGCGAACTCCTACCAGGCAGTCTCGAATGAGCCGGACCATGTCTGGGCGAATGACGGTATGCCTGGCAGCGAATTGAGTGCAGTTGTGCCTGCCTGCCCTCAAAGGAATCATCTATGAATTTGCATCTGCAACCTACTTGTCCGCAAGTCGCACGTCCTCGCACCGATGCCAGGTCCGCAGGCCGCCATGTATGGCCTGGCACCGAACTACGAGTGCTGTACCGCCAACTTCCACCAGGGCTACCCAAAGTTTGCAGGATCCACATACTCGTTGTCGAGTCTGGTAGTGGGAGTAGGCAGTCGTCTCGTCCGCCAGGTGTCCCAAGCCAATCCTGTCAGGGAGTCACGCAGCAACAGCAAAGTCATTGTTCGGCAAATTGGGCAAATCGGCAAATTTTTGCAGAATCCCGTGTTAAGAGTCTTACTACGAAAAGCTCTTAAAAGCAGAGAGGAAGCCTCTTCTTCGAGGATGGAAAGCAGCAGGAGCTGGTCTCTGCGCTTTGGGCTCCGAGCGTGGTGCGCCTTGGAGGCATCATTGGATTCAACCAACTTCCGCACGTCATCTGCATTCGATGTAGTTCAGTAGCAGTCCACAGAACACAGTGGGCCTCCCCGGGACTAGCAGGGGGTCTTGTTATTGTGCTCCCCACTACGATATCGTCATACCCACTGAGCTTGCGCATGACATCTTGACCATTGTGTGCAGGGACATGGCAACGACGCGTGATTGGAAACAACTTTCAGCGACCGTACCTTCTGCACTTGCACCTCCGTCTTGATGCTGAGGAATGCCACAGTGGGTCTTGCTCACGTCGAGCTTCGGACATCATATCCTTTCAACACGTCCGTGGAGTACTGGCAGCTCGCCCCAGCTGGAATTGAGGCCGATCTTGTCCGTGCCACTTGCAGTCGTTCAGGATTTTCACGGGCTCTGCACATGTGCGCTTCACTGAGATGCCAGCGCAGCCAAGGATTCAGAATGAGAAGCCGTTTACTCTAAAGATTCGCCTGCCGAAGTTCTTGCGCACCGTGAGACTTGGTCAACACGAGTCGTGTTCTGGCAGAGCTGATGCAACGTGACACAGCAGAGTGAAGACGCACTCGGGAACTAGACACGAAATTCAGGCACAGAATTCAGGAAACGGGTGGGGCAATTCAGGCACCTGGGCAGGCCAGAATTCAGAACGAACACGGGCCAATTCAGGAACAAGGAGGTCGGGATTCAGGTACTCTGGGGCAGGGCTTAGGGTTTAAGGTTTAGGGTTTAGGGTTCAGGGTTTTGGGTTTTGGGTTTTGGGTTTAGGGCGTTTTAAGGCTTGGGCCTTTTTGGGGTTTGGGTCTTCTTAGGGCTTAGGGTGTTTTAGGGTTTAGGGCTCTTTAGGGTGGGTTTTGGGTTCAGGGTTTAGGGTTTAGGGTTGAGGGTTGAGGGTTTAGGGTTTAGGGCGTTTTAAGGCTTAGGCCTTTTTGGGGTTTGGGTCTTCTTAGGGCTTAGGGTTTTTTAGGGCTTAGGGCTTTTTCGGGTTTAGGGCTTTTTAGGGTTTAGGGCTTAGGGCTTTTTCGGTTTTAGGGCTATTTAGGGCTTAGGGCTTTCTTGGGTTTGGGGGTTTGGGGCTTGAGGGCTTGGCGTTTCAGGGTTTTTAGGGCTTGCATGTAGCAAGCTCCTCGTCTTTGGAGTTTTGTGTTTTTCCCTTGGCCTTTGCAGCCCTCCCCTTTTGGGAGCATGGCGGGAAGCAGCAGTGACACCTTTGTTGGCGGCCGTGCCGGGGGAGTAGGTGAAGTCAAGAGGTGCGATCGGTGTGGCTACGAGAGTTTGAACATCAGCCACTTCTGCTACATTTCGGATGGCAAGATCGCCGCTTTGCCTGACAAGGACCTCCGAAAGGCCCTGGGCATTGAGACGAAGGAGAATCAAGCCCGAACCAGTGTGAGCTTTTGCTGCTTCACATGTGCTGGGCAAGTCACGAAGGGTGATGCCTGGCACTTCCAGAAGCCTGAGGGCGGCCCCACCAACAGCTTCCGGAAGCTCGCCCAAAAGTGCCTGAAGAGCACGACTTCCGCCTCCGACACAAGGGCATCCACCGCCAAGGTTGCCGGGACGGAAGCCCCCGAGGTGGCAGAGAAGGTGCAGATGTCGGTGGACATTCTGCGAGACAAGCGCATGCGAGAGGCCTCAGACTGGGTTACTCAGCTGTCGTCTCAGGAAGCTGTGGATTGGAACATCCAGTCTTGCTACGGCTGCACATGTGGCTGCATTCCCCTATAGGCACAAGTTGCTGATTTCCCTAAACCGTAAACCCTAAACCCTCAAGGAGGGGCTGGAGGGGCTGGAGGGGCTGGAGGGGCTGGAGGGGCTGGACGGGCTGGAGGGGCTGGAGGGGCTGGAGAGGCTGGAGGAGCTGGAGGGGCGAGGGGGCGGAGGGGCTGAGGGCTGGAGGGGCTGGAGGAAGGGCTGGAGGGGCTGGAAGGGCTGGAGGGGCTGGACGGGCTGGAGCTGGGTTTAGGGGTTTAAGGTTTAGGGTTTAGGGTTTAGGGTTTAGGGTTTAGGGTTTAGGGTTTAGGGTTTAGGGTTTAGGGTTTAGATTGGGTCTCGATATCTCAAGATTTCGAGACCTAGGGCCTGGTTTTCGAGACGCCAGGATTTTTGCGGGGTAGAGGTAGAGGTTTGGCTAAAGGTATCAGGCCACGAGCGAGGCTGGGTGTGGGTTGTGGTCCGGTCCGGAAGGAAGGATTTAGAATGCATGTTGGACCCAAAATCCCGGCAGATTTCTGGCGGGCCCTGAGACCCTGAAGGGCCCCGAAAGCCCCGGAGGCCCCGGGCCCAACTCATGGAATAGAGTTTTGACTGGTCTTCTGTACACAGTGGCTCTGAAAAGTGCAAGCAAAACAGTCACTGTGTATAGATGCAGTGTACTTGCGAGTTCTCCTGGAAACTTCAGCAAGCACAAAACGTCACATTTTTTTGCATACTTGGAAAGATGGGATGCTCGGGCAAGCCAGGAAAGTCGGGCAGGCCAGGCAAAAGCGGCGGGCCAGGCAAAAGCGGCGGGCCAGGCAAAAGCGGCGGGCCAGGCAAAAGCGGCAGGGCAGGCAAGAGTGAGAGTGGCGGGCCAGGCAAGAGTGGAGTCGGCGGTCGCAAATCCCTGCGCACCCTCAACCAGCTGGTCATGATGGTCCACGCTCTTCTAACCGGAACGCTGGAGAAATTGCGTGGGAGAAAAGTGGCAGACGCATGCGCAGGCTGCCAGGACTCGACAATCTTGTCGCATTCAGACTGGGCAACCCACAAGCACTGCGAGCTGGAGCCCGATCTGGATGCGACAAGTTTGTCGCTCCTGTGCAGCTGCGCCAAAGTGGCGGCCAGCTGTGTTGGCTAGATCGTGGGTGACCAGGCTCCTCGCAAACTACGATGGTGGTTTGGAAGATGCTGGAGCGAGGACCTGGCGCCTGCAGCCTGGTAAGGGTGGCTACAAGCCTAATTTTGGGAAGGTGGTTTTGGACGCAGCCTGCCAATACACCCCATAAACCCCATAAACCCCATAAACCCCATAAACCCCACAAACCCAATAAACCACATAAACCCAATAAACCAGATAAACCCAATAAACCCTAAACCCTAAACCCAATAGACCTTAAACCCTAAAAGGGCCTAGACCCTAGAAGCACCTTAGAGGCTCTCTTGTTGGGGAACTTAGCGTTAGATTTAGAGCCTCAAGAAGGGTACTTCTTGGCGGTCATGGCAGGGAATACCCTGATAGCACAAAAGCCCGCATGATGACGGCCCAGGCCCCCATGGTCCACCCCTGGAATTTGGGTCTAGAGTTTAGGGCAAAGGGTTTAGGGTTTCCAAACCCTAAACCCTAAACCCTAAACCCTAAACCCTAAACCCTAAACCCTAAACCCTAAACCCTAAACCCTAAACCCTAAACCCTAAACCCTAAAGCCTAAAGCCTAAAGCCTAAAGCCTAAAGCCTAAAGCCTAAAAAAGCTTAAACCCTAACCCAAACCCTGAGCCCTGAACCCTGAACCCTGAACCCAAAACCCTAAACCGTAAACCCTAAAACCCTACTACGACTGCACTTGTGGTTGCGCTCCCCTCGAGGCAAGCTGCTGGTTTTTACACAAGAATGCGGGAGGCCGCCAGTTTTGGTGTTGTGCTCGCTGCAGTGACCGCTACAACGGAGGGACCTCGCCGAGGTACCTCTTTGTCAACATGCCCGGGGAGCGGGCGATGGTCTTCCGTGTTCACCAGATTGAGGCGGACTTGGAGAACCAGATCAAGCTACTCCAGTTGGCCCAGGTGAGCAAGAACCTTTTTTGTGCTGTTGTTAAGGAACTGACGGAAGTTAAGTTTCCACAGTACAGGTGTACAGCAAATAATGTGGTTCCCTCTAGCCCTAAACCCTAACGAGGCAGAGGCTGCGCGCGGACTTCGCCGGCTGCCATATAAGGGCGCCGTGGGCAGAGTAGGTCCACCAGACTAAGTTGACACAAAGCTCTGTCTATCTGTCTATACATATGTATATATGTGTGTGGGTAATATATATATATATATGTATATGACACATCTTATGTGTGATGTGTATCAAGCGTAAGACGCTGTTTTTTGTGTAGTGCGCTACTGCTGGTAGCCTCTCGCCTGCACATTTCAGCTGGCATCGTTGGCCCGAAAAGAGAGTTCGAGCCCCTCAGTGCTGCGGACTGGTTTCTGGGCTTGGTAAGGGTTTAGGGTTTAGGGTTGGCGTCCAGGGATTCGTGCGTGCCGCAACGCATGAGCTGCTGGTGAGTTTGGGTAAGATCGGGCAAGGAAGTGGACATTTCTAGTGAGCTCTACAACGGGGTGCCTATAAGGCCCGCGAACACCCCACACTCCAGGCTTAGGGCTTCTTGGGGTTTGGGTCTTCCTAGGGCTTAGGGTGTTTTTGGGGTTTAGGGCTCTTTAGGGTTTAGGGCTTAGGTCTTTTTCGGGGTTAGGGCTGTTTCGGGCTTAGGGCTTGAGGGCTTGGCGTTTTAGGGTGTAGGGCTTTTTAGGGTTCAGGCCTACGTGCTCGTAATATAGTGCATAGCTATCTGACTTAAAGCAGCGTGGCCCACGTGCGCTAAGTCAGATCCATTGCTACCGCATTTCGTGCGCAAATAAACAGATCTGGATTTCAATCCTACCGCAGCCAAGAGCCAGTCTTTCTTGAATTCTTAGTTGAATTTGCCTTCAGGGTTCTCGAATTGGATCTCTGCTGTTCCTGAGTTGGCCCTGGCAATTCCCGAATTCTGTGCCTGAATCCAGCTTTCGATTTCTGAATCGGCTTCCTGCTTCCTGAATTTATTTCCCGAATTGGTGGTTAGCCTGACACAGCGCATGCTTTGAACACTCTCCCTTGACCCATGACAGACGGCTGAATTGATCTTGATCAGCCTTTTCGCACTAATAGCGGAGGGTGTCGCTCAAGGACACAACCACGAGAGCTGCCATTTCTGAGGACTCCAGCGCCCGTAACTGTCTTGCTGGATGGGCACAGTGTCAAAGCAGAGGCAGGCAGAGACCCAAAGGCTTCCGATGTAGCATACTTATATATTAGTCACACCTCTTTTGGTTCTTTACACCATATATATGTATGCGTATGCATATTAAGTAGATAAATCAATAGTCAAAAAAAATATATATACATGCATGAGCCATCAGTCATAAACTGCATAGAACGGATAGATCTAACGGTATAGCTTTATTAATTGTTCCATTGTTCCACATCTTGGTACGCGAGGCCGTCTCCGGCTTCCTTCGCCTCCCAATTCCAGTCGCAGCGCGGCGGCTGGCGGTGCTTTATTCCGAACTTTCATGGCGCATTCGGACTTCTGGATTTCGGACTACACGTGGCGGAACATATTCTTCCCCGTGCTTAGTTGCGGGGCTTGGGCAACACTCGCCCCGTATTCTTGTGTCATTCTAGTTTTAAGCGCCTGCGCACATCAGCTCAACATCCGAGTCGGCCCAGCGTAGCGCGCGTCGAAAACAAAGAAAAACCAGAGTCATATTGGTGCAGCGCCGCGTAGCACCACACATGTGAGCATCGGACAATCTTGTCGAAAAGTATTCTTGTCCCTGATGTTGCATGCCCTCTGGTTTTAGTATTCTTCCTTGAAAGCGATAGCGGCCAACCCTAAAGCGATATCCCTATAAGGAATCTATACTGTAGTAATCGGGGGGGGGGCGGGGGGTGGTGCTAATCATCCTCGAGAATCGATAGGGGCCCAACCAAGCATGTTGCGCGTTCAATGAACACAGGGTTTTGTCAGCAGCTCATGTGCCATCTATGAGAGAGAGGGCTGGTGACAGGAGGGGGGGGTGGACCGCAACTTTTGGGCTTAGAGAGGGCCAAAGACCAGATCCTGGGTTGCTTGTTCCAGACGCCGTGCTAGGGTTTAGCTCGAAGTTTTTTCGTAATAGGATCATGTCCCTTTAACCCTATCGCAAAAAACGTAGATCCGCAAAAGGCGGTTGAGAACAGCCCGTCCCACCGCATCACGCGGTATCCCACAGTTTTCTGTTTGCAAGCTGGCGCCACTTCAGGTGAAGATCAGTTTTGCGATGGCGCCATCCGTCAACGGATATCCTGATCAAGGCGTCTCAACACAAGTCCCCCGCGGTGACCAGTTGTGTGCAGCGGAGTGGCTGCATCTGTGATGAACACGATGCACACCTCAGGCGTCTCAGTCTACTTTGGCCCACTCCTCCTCGCCCTGGATCTCAGGGAGCAGCGGCAACTAGTCCAGAGGCCGGAGGCCCAGAGCATCCACAGTTCCGAAGCAGTCCGATCATGGACGGGCTGCAGAATCGTAAACCCATTTCGGTGGGTGAAAGGGCAGCTGCTGGTAAGCACATGCCTAGGCCTTTGATCTGTGGCCTTGTCAATGTATCATTATGTATTCGTATCATCTCGTAGCTCGGATCCAAGGTATGCTTTCAATGCCGCTGATTGGAACACAACAGTTGCTTGGCTTCCGTTCAGCTCCTGGACACCCCATTACCAGAGCTCGGCATCCTCGGAATGCTCATAATTCTCCACGTAGGCTCAGTACGATTGCCGCTTGTACCTGATGGCTTTTTGAAGTGGTGATTTTGCGAGGCGACTCTGCCCTGGCGCCTGGCCATGCCGCCGTCCCCCCACTTGGGCACACCGAGGCTCCTTGGTTGGGGCAGTTTGAGATGGAATGAAAAACAGACTGCTGACTCGCCTGTGCCCAGGCCTCAGACAAGAAACTCCAAGAAACTCCAAGGCCCCTAAGCTTGACCAAGACACTAGAATAGCCAAAAGCTGAATGCCTCAACATCCCAACATGCCAAAACCGCCCTACGCGGTCGAAATTATCTAAACTCTAAACTCTCTCCCGCCCTGAACGTCCCTAAGCCCTCCAGGTTCGTCGCGCCTGGGCCCAGGCCCATGGCTTCCAACAACTGCCCCGTGACTTTGGAGGCCCCTGGGCGAGCTGCAGGTGTCCATTCGCGTACCTCGTTAATTTACCGGTGATGTGTGTTTTGCGCTCAGCTTTAGTCTTGAAAGCCTCACCTAGCCCATTGCAAGGTGGGTGCGAAGTCTCAAGACATTGACAGGCCACCCTTCTCGCAGTTCCGTCCAGCGCTTGGCCAGTTCGACACGGTGCCCCTGGTCCCGTCAATGGCCACTTGCCCTGAGGATCGTATGATGGGTATTCAAGGTTGCCTGCCAGGGGACGGAGAAAGCGGTATTTCTGTTCCCCAGCAGCCTAGGCACCTGCCGTGGTGGTGAACAGGCCGTGGAGGGAAGTTGTGTCATATGTTTCCACTGGGTTGTCAGACCGATTCCACCACGTGTCAGGTTCAGCGCACCTTTATCCCCTATGCCTGTACATCCATCCGTGTATCAGCCCTCCCACTGGCTGGCGGGGAGCCTGTGCTTGTGTGACCGTGGGTGCCACAAAGAGAGCTTCGGATTTGTGCTGCTGCTCGATGGGATCCGATGCGTCGGGATGTCGGACCTGCTTGCAAGTGTCCGAATGTTCACTGTTCAATTTGCTCTCGCAGCGTTTGGCTCGAGCCGTTTGGCAAGAAGTGCCAGGAGCCCCCATCCGCAACTACGGTAGGCGCACAGCCTGGGGCACTTACAAAACAAGTCCTTGTTCCGGCAAAGTCGGGTCGTTTCCCCTTATCGTCCTTTGAAAGTCGGTAGACCAGCAGCCATGGGATTCAAGACAGATGGCCCGCTGTGGCCATGGCCCGGTGCTCAGAGCTTAAAGCGGCAGCAAGGGCACATCAGCACCAATTACTTCTGGCAGTGGTGGTATGCAGCATCAGACCAGCACCCAACTACATCATGTATCATCAGCAGTACGACCAAAAACACACTTTTAAAAACCATCAACAACAATATCAGTTGTTAGAGGCCGAGGGCCTCCCGGCTTGGCTCGGAGCCTTCGGCTTCTTGGTTTTGTGGCTTTTGGAATTCTTGGCACCCCGTTTTCTTGGCTCCTCAGCTTTGTGGCTTGCCCTGCTTTCTTGCTTGCTCGGCTTGGCTGTGGGGCTTTTGCCCAAAATAGAGGTTTGCGAGCAGAATGGAGGCGAAAGAAATGCAAGAGAAGGTAGACAATGTGTTTCAGGAAACTGTGATTTTCCGATTGAGGCATAGAGAGCCTAGAGGAAATAAAGGTTTCTTTCAAGGTTACAAATGTTCATGTATCTATGTACATAAAGAAGAAAGACTTACCGTAACCAAACATGAAGGGAAATCCGTGTTGCCTCCGAAAATCCAAGGAAGGTGCAGCAACACAACGACTCTTCATCATCGTCTTGTGGGGCCTTCTCCCCGTCGTACAACGGTTCGTGATCACATAGAAGCGAAATACAGTTTTTCTCGTACAACATGGAGGCATGAAAGTTTGCCAATGAACATGTAACATCATGTAGCAATGGAAAGTAGACAAAGGTTGTTCTGTTCGAACGCTAGAACGTAGGGTAGATGGATGGGTTCCGGGTTCAAATCTGGAGGAAATAATGCTTTCCTACTGAAGTAAATGAGGCGACGGCAGCGAGATTTCCTCCTGCAAGATGTTAGACATTTAGGCAAACTCTTCATACACAAAGGAATGGATGGAGCAAGTAGACTGTCAACTATAGCAATATGTGGAGGAAATAGAGGTCTTGCTCTTCATTTGTTGTCGATGGTGTTCCACATTATTCATGTCCACGTCTTTTGATGGGTCACCCCGTCAGAGCCCCAGCAAATTTTTCTTGCGATCGGAAAGGTGGGCTGCCATGATCGTCATCTCTTGCTTCAACTTCCTTTTCTTCAGGCGACGGGTCGATGCTCACACCAAGCACGTCGCACTGTGGACAACCGAGCCCCTTCCAGGAACACTCGGCTGCGCATCCGGCCGTCTCATACGCCGCAGGACCCCAAGAGCGCATGGGGTATGTCTAGTCGTCCACCCAGAAGACCACGGGGGGACAAGGTCCATCCTTGAACGCACGAGCCAGCTCATGTTCAGATTTTTTAGAAAACCGCTCGTGAGCAAGACCTGTTTCAGGAAACGGCAACCGAAGAAGCAGGTTTCGCTACCATGGACAAGAAAATGCTACGCAGAGCAAGTCTGATCAGTTTTGATTCAGCTACCGGTCCTTCTACATGTACTGAGACCGCAAATCCTGCACCTGCGCGTGTTTGGTAGGACCGCCGCTACCAGCGGTATCTGCGGAACCTGTGCGTGCCATTCCTCTTTGCGCCTTGTCCTTTTTCTTTGCTGGGCTTGTCGGTGTAATGCCACGGCTTCATGGCAAGCTCCAGGAAGTACTGCTCTACTAAGGAGTGTGCATGGCGCAGTGTCTTTCCAAGCCTCTACAACGAGCGACAGGTCCTGCGGTAGAGGGCCGTGCGGGTTGCAGGGTGTACGGGCAGTATGGCGTCCATGCCTGCTTGGTGCAGCTCATGGGATTCGACACAGCTCTGTTGTTACCTTCCCCCTCTTTTCAAGTGGCTCTGCATATGCTTCATGATTCAAAGCGGGTTTAGGCGAAGAAAATCCCTGCAGGTGCTGTTTGACACGCCCCTGAACTCGATCCTGCTTGACCGGAGCTTGGCGGCGTTGGGCGAGCTGTGCTGGGCTGCTGGGCCAGGTTTCAGAAAGTCTCAAATGTACTGGCTGGAACCATCAGGTTTTTTCAACAAGGGTCATATGATAATCGTGACTAACAAAAACCATGGCATGGTTACAAAGTGTACCCTCTTGATGTGGCTACAACGTACCTTCGTGTTTCAACAGCACAGCGGCAAGATGTGCCCAGCAAACGTTGATTTCACGGGTTCAGAAGAGATCCTAAGCCTGCGGAGGTCACAAAAGCGCACCCCGAACCCGAGATGAGATTGTGAAGCAGGTTTTGCTTTACCAACTCCTGTCAGGTCTTGCAGATTTGCTTGATTCTTGAGCAGCTCGCAACAGCTGCCCGGCTGCACATTCATGCTGGAGGGAACAATTGACAATTGCCGGTCGCGGCATGTCTCAATCGATGCGTACAGGAAAGGCCGGCCGCACTAGAAAACTCAGGTGGCTGCTCTCATGTTTGCTCTGCTTTGTTCAACCGGCTCAAGATCGTAAGGATCTGCGCCAGCACTGGTTGAAGGGCTGCTGCGGCAAGTGTTTCGTCGAGCTTTGCATCTCGGAACTGAAGCAGGACCCTAAACCTTGGACTCTAAACCCTATTAAACCCGAAACCCGAAACCCGGAGCCCGAAACCCAAAACCCTAAGCCCTAAAACCCAAACAGGAGCCGGGGGCTTGTTGATGTCCTGTTGACATGGGCAAGCAAAATAAGAGATTTGTCACCCTTTCCCCACAAGTGCAGATGAGGCAGAAGCCAGGGTTCTAGTGCCATTCCTCCCAGGCAGCATGATCATGGCTGTGCTGGCTTTCGTGGGAGAGTGCTTCTCCTTCGTAGGCCCGGTCGCGGGGCCCGAATCCCAAGACGGCACGAGCTCAAGACCGAGAGAACTCCGAAACCCTAAACCCTAAACCCTAAACCCTAAACCCTAAATCCTAAACTACAGTGACAGAGAGTTGGAACTTGTTGGAGCGGGACGTGCTCCTTTGTCCGGAAGAGCATTTGTCAGGGCAGAGGTAATTAGCGAACAAACTTGGCAGATTTGGTGCGTCTTGCAGGCACGTTCACTACAAATGCTTACTTCGAGGTCTTGGAAGCCATGTGCTGCTTGGCCAAAGATGTTTGCTCATGTACTGACATTCGAATTGTGCTCTATATTGCTCTCCATTACGGCATATGGTACGTAAGTTGAAAAGCAGATTCGCGAGGATGCATTTTTGTGCAATTGCGGCTTAGCACTAAAGCCAGTGGGAACGTATATGGAAGCTCGACGCGACGGCAAAGGTTGGTGCTCCCTGTTCGCCCTGGCCTCGCTGGCCTCCCTCACATTGTTGGTGCCTGGGAGATTCGTTGAATCCTGAAGCGCACGTCCCAAGTCTCCCCCCCCAAGCTCATGATGTCGCAGTCCATCACAGAGATGCATACTGACAATGCACTGAATATCTGGAAGTAAGAGTTTGCGAGGGCAAGGCCTCCACTTGATCCTGGAAGGGTTCTTATCCTCGTGCATCTCAGTTGATCGGTACCTCAAGCCCTTCATCCTGAAGCCAAGGTGCGGACTCATATGGCAGGGGCATGTGGTGTGGCCGCCAAGCGTTTTCTGGTGGTGCTCACGCTGCAGGCGTGCAGTCCAAAGTCCATGCTCGTCTGTGCAGCAAGGGTGAGGCGGTGACAGTGACCGCTCTTGTCCCTGAGGGCTTCCTCTACTGCCCGTACATGGTCAAGTTCAACATCCCAATGTACTGGCGCATCTTCCGTCACGATGAGGAGCAAGGCAAAACCTACATGTCCATCTTGGAGGGCATCGTGGACTCCGCGAGGACATGTCTTACGGCTGACATTGTGCGCCTATTTGCATCCTGAAGTCCTAGCTTGTGGTAGCCGCAGGTGAGCTATAGAGTATAGGGTATGTAAGAGTATGTAGAAAGAACCACTGCCCAAAGGAGGACACGTGGGGAGGGCAGCACTTGTATGCCCTGGGGCTTCCGAACGTGGCCTCACAAAGGGAACGCACACGATCCACACCACAAAGCGAAGAAAGCCGACCCAACAGCTCAACTGGCATTGTAGCTCAGAACTGCAAGAGCAGATGATGCAGTGATGGTCCCCCCCCCTCTTTTGGCATGACGAAGCCTCAAGATCGACCTAAAGAGCCCCCTACATTCACATGCCCCTGCCGTGAGGACCCGCGTGAAGTGCCAAGAATGGAGCTGTTGGAAGGAGGGGCTGGGTCCAAAGCCTTAAGCCCTGCAAGCCCGTAAATTAAATCGTCTTAAACTTAAACCCTAAGATAAAGCCCGAAAAATCTACATTGTAAACCCTGAACCCCGAACCAGGATGACTGGTTCTGGATGTCATTCTACTTTTCGTTCGCGGTTTGGAGCAGATCCCTGGCGAAAGTTTGAGAATTTCTCCGAGCTAGTTTGCGTGACGAGAGGTTCAGAACCAAAGATGCTCGTAACCTTTCAGGTGCTTAGAGGAGGTGGGAAAAGTAGTCATCGTCGTCTTTGAAAGCAGCTCGCGATAATTACTCCCCTGGCTACTCCAACCAGTCGCTCAGGCATATGCATGATGTATGCTCCAAGACTGAGATTTGCTCGCTTGACGAGTCAGGCTGTAGCACCGTAGACGCTTGGTCTCTTTGTGCATTGCGACTGTTCAAGCAAAGCTTGTCTCGTAGGTGTAGTCCAGTACGGTAAAGAACCGAAGCACAAACGAGGATGGCCACAGATACCTGTGCTCGAGAAGACGCATTTCTCCGTCAGTGTAGCAGTGTAGGTGTTGTACTGTTGAGGCCAATCCTCCCTCCTCCCTTGCCACTGCAATGAGAACAGTTCTCAATGCAGGCTTAGATGAAGTGCCGCTGTGTTGTCGCAACAAGCCTTCCAATGCAAGTCATGATGCTGACTGCAACACGACCGGCACGTGTTGCTTGCTTGCTCATGCGGACCCTGCGTGTCGGTTTCATATTTGCGCAAGCGTGTGCGCATGTTTCTCGAACTATTGACATTGACATGTAAATGTCAGATCGTATCAGTGAGCAGCCAGGAAAGCTATGGAGGAAATCTGAAAGTCCTGACATGGCAGCAGCTCAACAGCCCTCCAAGACCCGTGCGGCCCTCCGCAGCCTCCGATGGTGATTCCGGGTGCTGCTGCGCTGCCCGAGGCGCGTGCGGACCTGGACCTGTCAACTGGAAGCCCTCTTGAGTTACTAGTCACTAGAACCTTGTCAACCGGTTGGATCTTGACCAGAACCAATGCCCATTTTGGCATTGTCTTCACACGAGCTTGCCATGAAACTCATCGCCGATCTCGGCACCGCACCGCGAGCCCACTAAGTAAACTAAGTAAAGCACTCCTGAGCTGGTTTATCCCGCACCTCCAATCAAACATGCCTCGAGGCCCACTTAGTGCGTTGAGGATGTAGACCCGTTGCTTTGCTCATTGGGGGTCGGCTGGAGCCACAGATTTTTTTAGTTGAAGGGCGATGCCTTCGCCTTGCACCTGTGTGGTCAAATATCGCGCTCGTGGCACAAAGCATCACGCACACAGCAGAAACAGCAAACCTCATAAACCTCGCACATGGACTCAGCAATAAAAAAGATTACAAAGGAGGCGAGAACCTCGTACTGTCGTTGACATATATTGTTGCAGTCCGCAGCAGCCGCAGTAACAGCACCTACCCCGACCACGTACTTAACTTATGGCTGTTTTTGGGATCACTAGGCCACTAGGCTAAGTTTGCTCGACGCCTCAATCCTCAAGTCCACCCTTAGCCCTGGACCCTTGGACGTTGTGGCGGCGCGTCCCACCGCCTGCTTCCTCTGTAGAGCCATGACACGCAGCTTTCAAGACTACCAGAAGGCCGGCGGTGGATGAAAGTATGGTTCGATCGCTGGTTAGGCTTGAGAAGGGGCCTTTTGCCACCAGTCCCACAAGCACCTCAGGACAAGCAGGAGAGGGAGTGGAAGGACAAGGCCGGTGGAGAAACGTAGCCAGCAGCCATATGCGGAAGGAAACTTCTGTCTGTCGTTGGGTTTAAGGACTCCCTAGAGTCTAGTGGGGGAGTGCTGAGACATGCTGAGACCACGCAAGGTCCAGTCGCGCAAGGAGGCCATGGGCAATGCTCAGCGCGTGTCCCGTGCGGCCGAGTTCAAGACGCCCCTCGCCTTTCATTGGGTGTGCGCGCTGCGCGTAGTTGAGACTGCTCTCGAGAGTTCCGGAATCCCGTGATAGCCGACGCGGCGTAGAGTGGATTTCTGTAGAACTCGCCTCAGGATTGGCAATGACAAGTTCAAGTGCGGCAACTTGCTGGAGGCGAGCTTTTCCTGACAGGGCTTGGCAGTTTTGGAAGACCAGCCTTCGACGGTTTAGTTGTTTTGGAAGCATGTGGTTCGGATCGCCTGGCTTGCTGGTAGGATTAGGATCTGGCGGGTCTGGGCACCATGTTTCCTCCGCTTCCCGTGCGGCAGCCAGGCCAGAGATTACTACCGAGAGGCCATCATCTATGTGAGCAGCCCAATGTGATGAGATCAGCCAACCTGTAGGATTTCGATGCGCGTGGGATAGAGGTCAGGGGTATAGTAGTATGGCATGATTTTTGCGTGCGTGGCACAAGCTCACGGAGCTGCCCGGTAGTTCAAGGTCGAAGATCTGGTGGATGCCCGCCGGAAGGACCGGCCCCACGAACAAGAAGTCGCGTTGGGAGTGCCGGCTTTTCTCCAAATAATGTGTTCAATGCCCGAAGCTGCAGAATCTAGTCACAACCTTCAAAACGAACTAGTAGGAAAGGAGTTCACGTGTTTTTTTTGTTTCACTTGAGGTTTCGTTCACTTGGCAAAGAAGGACTTATGAATTTACTCGCTTCACATCGTTCATTTGCTTCATTCGTTTCACCTTCGTTTCCAAGCCTATGAATCATCAATGGTGGTGCCATCATATCGGTTGTTCACGGTTCAGGTTCGCTTGGCATGTTGGCGCACGCAGAGAACTACGTAACTACGTAGCTACGCGCAAACCCACCCACTTGGTAATGGATGGGGCTTGGCTCCTAACCAGCTGCCAAGACCTCGCATACTGACCGGGAGTCTGGGGTTGAGTCAGTTGAGGAGAAGGTGGAGCTGCTAATGCCCTTGTACGCCAACCTGGCGCAGGCAAGCTCGGAGTTTCTTATGCTTACAGGGCTTCGACGGGGTGGGGTTTACGAAAATAGGGGGGCCCAGTATGGACCCCCAAATAATAGGATCCCCTGAAAGTAAGGACCCCCATAAGGTACCCCTAATATCGTAAACCCCCAGATGTTTTGCAGATCATGTCCAGCAGGTGTATCTCCGCATCGATGAGCACTCTGCAGCAGAGGAGCTGTGGAAGCAGCGCAGTTATTGCCCATGCGTTATACAAGGCAGACGGCAAGCTATGGTAAGTTCCTTGCTTTCAGGGGAATCGAAATGCTGCTGTAGGTGTTGCACTGAATCCATGCTGAATGACGTTCCAAAAATTGCAGACATGATTTCGATGTATATGATCCGGCCCCTTTGGGTGTGGTTTTGGGTGGTAGGGTTTAGGGCTTAAGGGTTGCGGGATTCGGGTTTAGGATTGGAGTGGTCATGACGTGATTACTTATCATCTAATCTTGTACGCTTGGGAAGGGGTAGGCAGCCGCAATTTCCATCTGATTACAGGAGGTGTGCAACAAAGCTCTTACACTTGCAGAAGTCCCCCGAAATGCTGTACCGTCGTCTGGACCTTACAATGATGTGCAGTGCAATGCCTTGCAATCAAAGCCTTAAACTGCAAGGTGCCTTGTATTCGAACTTCTGGGATGCGAGTTACTGCTCTGCAGGGGCAGTTGTTCTCTTTGCTTTCTTTGGGTTTTCTCTAGACTAGAGTTCAAAGCTGCAAAGCACAGGCCTACAGGTTCTGCGATGAAGTGGACCCTCAAAAGAATACACTCTCAACCTTTCCCGAAGCTCGCGAGGTCGCTCCGGGCGAAGGCGCACTTCCGCCGCGCCGTTGCGCGGCGTGCCCTCGGAAAAGCCGAGGAAGCCCGTGAGAGGGCCAAGTGGCGGAGGGTAGGTTAAGGCGGTTAAGGTCTGTTCGGCCTTGATCTTGCGAAGTCTGCGTTTTATTTTCGCTTGTTTGCTTTTAGTGGATTGGGCTTGTAGGATATGTAGGGTTCCCAGCTCCCAGGTGTCGATCTTCAAGCGGTCCTGCAGATGCAGCCGGATCACGCCGAGGTTCATCAGAACATGTCAGAACCCACGTCAATGCAGAGTATGCAGCTGTCTTGTTAGCGAAATTGGGATACGGACCCCCCCCGCCTGACCAGCTTTGTGCAGGTTCAAAAAGAGCTGGTGGCGGTCCGCGCAATCCTTGCCGAAAGAGCCAAGCAGGCCAGGCCGTCGTCAGATCTCATCGCAGCGACCAGATCTCTTCGTCAGGCCAAAGAAGCCTGGGGCGGCTTTCTGCAGAGACCGGCAGGGTTCCCAAGAGTGACGATCAAGCCGGGAAAGTGCGCCTGAGTCGGGCCGTGTGGGTCAGAAACCCCCCTCGGCCCGAGTCGGAAAACGTGAAAAGCCCCAGTCAGAGAACATGCTAGTCCCTCTGAAATAACAGGCCCCATCTGCACTCAAATCCATAGCCATAGCTGGACCCCCTGACACTTCCACACTTCCATCCACGCCACCCAAACAACAGACACACGCCCACACCCACACACCGCCAACCAATCCAGTCTGTGAAGACAAGGTCCCTGGTGCTAGGCTTTCGGGTGGCCTACTTTCGTTCAAAGGGTATGTAAGGTGACCTTTCGGAACTTTCGATTAGCAAACAAAGCTCGACGGCATAACACAAAAGCTTCACATTTTTGTTGCATGGGAATCCACAGGCCCGAAAGCGAGTTTTTTCAAACCCTGGCTCCCCAAGCCCTCAGCTCGGTCTATTGTTTGTTGGCATGCGGTTTTCTGACTCTCCGTTTTCTGACTTTGGCCTTCTTGATATCTCCGACTCGGCCTTCCTGGCCCTGCTCTCGACGACCCGGCAGCTTCTGCTACAAGATGGTTCTTATTTGAGGGGGGCGCAAAAGTGTTAAATCGACCCCGTCGGTGGGTTTAAATTTAAACTAAATTGGCAGACTCGACAGTCCTGCTGAAGAGTGGAAGGGTTCAGGCCACAGCTATGCAAATGCCATGCTCTTGCGGAGCACAAGGCCGCTGACAAAGAAAGCCGCCAGTACCCCAGCAACTGAGCACTCTTCCTCGCTGTGCTATTGTTTCCTAGGGCTGCCGCTCGGGGTTTCTTTGGGATTGGGGGGTTTTCTTCTTGTGTTCTTGATTCTTGACAAGAAAGATCCACACCGAGTTCTGCATAGGCCAAATCCCAGCTTGCGGTGTCAATCTCACCCGCCCCACAACCCATAGGTCCTCAAGCGCTGTGCGAAGCATCGGCAGCTCTCATGACCACTCTGCAACCCCAACTAAATACTGCTGAACATTTGAGAGTCATGCAAGTTCTGGCTGGTTCTTAGTCGGGAATGAGGGAATGAGGTACCCCATATACTCCCTTAAGGGTATATATTGGGCCCGAAGTCCCTCATTCCCAGGGGAAGTGAGCTGTCGCTGTGAGCTCTGTTTTTCCCTAGCCTTCTTACAAAGGCGAGGAGCGAGAGCAGCGAGCAGCAGAGAAGCGGCGAAAGGCATTGCTTTTGCACTCATTGGACTGGCCCCCCCCCCCCCCCCCCCTGAGACAAGGAAGTCCCTGAGAGCACCGAGTGGAGAGGGCCCACAAATCCCATAAGGCTCAACGTTGGCTTCTTGCTGGCAGGCAGCGGAGCGTCGGCAGGAGCGATTGCGACGGGCCGAGGAAAGGCAACAGATGCAGGCCGAACCCGACAAAAGCCAGCTGGATCAGTTGGGAATTCAGGCTTCGGATTGAGGGAACTTGACTCTCAGAGCTGATGGGTGCTGTGATTGTCCCAGCCGACCTCCAGATGCCAGTGCACACAGCACATTTCAAGACTGCATCCTTTTCCATGATTGCCACTGCCTAACAATGCGAGTTGGTCTTGGATGGCTCAAGGTTGCAAGTTGCGACACGACACTGAGATCAAAACCTCCACAGTACAATCAACGCTCACATTGTCGCAGACGGTACGAGGTCACGGCGCTTCTTTGTCTTATCTGCCGAGCAGCTTTGCCAGATTCCGTGGCTTTGGGTTAAGGGTTTCCTTGCCTGCGGCCATGTCGCTTGAAACTCCAAGCGACATTCCTCCATTAGTGCCATCGCTGGTTCTGCCTGGCCAGGTGAGATCATGGAGCATGCTGTCAAAGTAAGGTTGGTAAAGTGTGCCACCTTTTGTGTGGCAGCCAAGTGGGCATTCTTATAGGGGCAGTGCTGCGGAATGAAGTGGCATGAGCAGTAGCCACTTTGCTTGCCGTGGCACTAGCTCGGCCATGCTTTGAAAGAAACATGGAACTGAAACTTCAGAACATCTTAAGCCCTGAAGCAGAAAAAACATGCCTGCCGAGACATCAGAGCTCGACGCCTCCAGCGACTGCCACCAGAAGGTTGGAGATGGTGGGCACTTGGCAGTGCATGTGAAAAACCTCGCGGACAGGATCACCAGGACCTCGGAACTTGCCTGTCAGACAGGAATTATGCGGTGAACGCGGACTGGCTGTAATTTGCACATGCTCGGGGCACACACTGACATCGATCGCTGGATAAGAAAGCAAGAATTGGAGGTCAGGGTCCGTAGAGAATCTGTAAGGGTCCAGCTCTGTCTGGAGCTTTGTAGGGGTTGCCCCGAAACCAAAGGGGGTCCTACAAAACGGCGGGCGGAGGCGGGGGGACCGTGAGCCTCTGAGCCAACCCCTACCCAACGGACGAAACAAAGGGGTCGACGACTGCACTCTTGGCATTCGTGTTTGTCAAGGAGGGGGAAGGTGGGTTCTTCAGACGCCTGAGGCCTGGCGCCTCGACGGATTTTGGGCAAATCTGGGAGAGAGTTTCTATCAGCGCTCGGCCGAGTACCTCATTTTCTTAAACCCGTGTCTTCTAAAGCAGTGCTGTCGCTGTACCCACTGCCAACTGATCTCCGACTGCAGGTCTCATTAGCAACATGTGGTCTAGCAGTGCAGAGACTGGGCGCTTGGTAGCAGGATGGAGTGCACTCGCCCGGAGATCCAGAGGTCGACACGGGCAGCGAACGTCCTGTGGTGCTACTCGCCGCAGTCGCAAGTAGCCATCATACTCAGCAACTTCGTTGGGTGACCATTCAGACTCTCCTTGAAGTGGCCATGTGTGTAGTTGAAGGGGCTGGGGCTGCTGCGATGCAGTGCACGTGCTGGGCAAAAGGCGAGTTTGAGGTGGAGCTTCATGTTTGTTCTTACCTCGGAGGATACCCGATTACTAACATGAAGTTTCCGATGCGCAGCATTGTCCCCTGTGATGCAATCATACCCTCACATCAGAAACGGTTGCTGATTTGGAAACTCCAGTACAGGAACTGCTGGTTCCGGACTGCCATCAGTCAAGCTGAGCACACCCTAACGGCTTTGCCACCAGGCTTGGGGCAAATTCTACGTCAGGGCCCAACCAGGACCCGCTCTCAGCTGCAGGGCTTGGGGTTAAGAGGCAAAACCGACTGCCCTGTGTGCGAACACCTCCAACCTCAGACCGCTGTCTTTGAGGAAGTGTCTCTACAATTTGAGCGAGGTTGCCGAGGCTGGCGACGTAGAGGGTGCTGCAATGAACAAGTCAGGGTTATTCATGCTAGCCGCTTTGCTGCGTGGCCGTGTTCTCTAGAATGGAAATGCATTCTTCACTAGGCTGTGCTGGGGCTACCGGTAGCATCGTGACTGGGTGTTGATGCCGCTCAGCAGAGCGCCTGCGCTTAGGTCGTTAAGGAAAGGAGATCATTGCACCCCAGCCAAGTCTCATGGTGTGGATGTTCAGCTAGCTCTACACGCAGCTAGTTATACTTGAGGTCATATTAGCCAGCTGTCTTCACCCTTGCCGTGGAGTCCAGCTATGGCTGTGCCTGCTGCCAGGTGCTGGATGAGTTCTGGTCCCATTCTTGGCGGGAGCGCGCATGGCGCAAAGTCTTGGCGCTCCTGGTTCTGCCGCCTGATTTTGCATTCTGTTGGCTTTCATGTGGGTGTATCTGGGGTTCTGCAGAATTGAGGCTCTGCATTGATTTTTTCCTTGTTGGCGCAGTTGCTCTGTGACTAGTGACGACTGGTGAGATCTCGTTCGAATTTCGTCAAGCTCCACGACTGTGTGCTTGATAAGCCCTCTGTATGACAAACACCTGGTCTCCCAGCCTGGCGCATGTGAAGCCGATGGGTGCATTGTGAAGCCCCCGAATGGGGCCGGAGCCAAGGAAGAATGGGCCTGCAGCGGCTGTGAATCTTGGATTTTGCAGATGCGCTTGTTTTCAAAAGAGCTGCGAGTTGAGATGAAGTCTTGGAGCAGCCTGGTGGCTTAGCTATGACTTGTAGTTTTCAGGATTGGGACATTGGCAGCGATTGCGGCGGCAGTGTTCAAAGGTGGCTTGGCGCAGTTGCTCCCACATTGGAAGTTGCGGACCACCGGGATGTTGGGTTACACTGCTTGCAGGTCTCTCCAGTCCGTCCCTGGCTGCTAGCATGAGGCATTCTCAATGTTACCTCTGCACATGCTCAGCGGTGAATGTGAGGCTCAGGGTTCCTCCCGGGCTACACCAAGCCATCGATTGTTCCTGGGCGTTGTACGTGGGAAGCCCCACCTCCCGCAACAGCCACATCCACCGAGAATCCACATACTTGCATGTCCTGAACCCTAGCATGCTCGTACAAAGACCCAAAACCCTCGCCTGCTAACGTTCTAAGGACCACATTGGAGAGCATCACTACTATGAGTTTTCCCTTTGGGCCCTGGGCAGTGGAGTGTGCCCTGGCATTCTCAGAGCTGCGGGGTCCTGACTTGGCTTTGTGCATCTTGCAGATGGAAATTGTGGGTGTGGGAACCAAAGACTTTTCGATAGTACAGAGGGTCCTGCCACCTGACCCTCTTGTTCCTAGGATTGCGGCCGCTGTGACGTTGGTGTTTTGGCAGTCCCAGACCGCCGTGTTCCTGGACAAAGTTTGCTGCTCGCCACCAGTGGTAGCCGTTTTGTCTTTCATGGAAAAAGTCACATTGCTTGACGGCATTGGTTTGACAAGGCAGTTTATGAGAAAACCAGGATCGCCGTATTGCATTCGGATGAACACATCCGCCGTCTCAAGCATTAGCTTGCCGCCCTTGCTGAGATGCTTACTCACTGTACTGCATTGAGGCATCAACCAGGTAGACGACGACATGAAGGCAGAGGGCATCCTCAGCATCGGCGGTTTCCTGAGAAGCTCCAAAAGCCTACTGGTCTTGTGGGATCCGACCTACGTGCCTTCGTCTCGTTCAGTTATCGATATGATGGTTGCGCAAGTCGGGAATCCCCACACACATAGGTGCCCGCAGGCTGTCGCTGTTTGTTCAACAACAAAGGTGCGGAGACTTTGGTGCATCTTCGAGTACGCCGCCTTTGTGAAGAGCCATGAGGGCCAGGATCCAGCAGTGGTGAAGATTCGGCCGACCTTTCTTGGCCCTTGCACCCTGTGGATTTTCTTCGGGAGCGTGGTGGCCACAAGGCTGCAGTTGCAGCTGATCATTGACGTTAGACTTGCTGAAACGTGTAGCCTGGATTGATGGTCTTATCGTGCCAGCCGGCTGCCTGAAGAAGCCCTCGGCGATATCGGGTTGAGGTCATGACTACGGAGCTGACGATTCACACCTTCTTGGACAAACTCGCGCTGTTTGCTTTCACTGGTCTGGGTACCCCGGCTGTCAGCAGTGGTACAAGATACATACGTGCATGTTGCTGTTGGCTGAGTCTCACCATGATCCGGTAAGGCCTAAATTAGGGTTTTGTGCAAGTTTTGCACTTAAAGCCTGGTGGACCGATGCAGGAGTGGTGGGTTTTTACTTTGGTACTGCAGCCTTTCGGCAACTCGTCTGGCGAATGGACAATTCGGGTGTGATCCAGTCAATGTGGTTTATTTTTCTTCGCTACCGTAGCACTGACTATTGCTGTTACTAGTATGTTCTTTCCGTGCTCTTGTCGCATCTTAGGAATTACTATGACAACGTGCGCCAGCTGCAAGTGGAGCTTGCAGACTTCAAGCTGCTCGCACAGCAACCTGAGATCAAATTTCAAGCGCAGAGTAACCGAATAGGGCTCAGCCCAGGGTTGCGGTGTTTGTACCGTATGAAGCCACGGCGGTAGAAAGACGATTGCCGTGAGACGCAAAAACAAGCATCCCACCAGTCTTCGCCTCTGAGCTCCTCCGGCAAAATACCTCAGAGCCGAAATTCTGAACCCCATGTGCTCGGTCCCAAAGAATTCATGACCAGTGGTGTGTTGAGGTCGGCCTATCCGTAGTTATTAGAACTTTACATGAACAAACATATGATCTACCCTTAGGATTATCAGACATTTTTGGCCATGCTAGCCCTTTCCCAAAGGCTGAGCCAGACGAAATGTCTGTGCTGCGACATGGGCCATGAGGAAGAGGGAATTCTCTGCGATCGCCAGGCAAGCCGGATATGTCTGGCATTGGTGTGTCTTTATGCGTGAGGGTGGTGTTTTTATACTAGATACTGGATCTTGTATCGAGTTGTGCCACTTTCTCTCTTGGCAATAGGAGGGACGAGAGAATGTTGTCACTCTCTCTCTCTCTCTCTCTCTCTTTCTAGCCACGCAAGACGCCTCGGAAGCCAAATCGTCTTGATGCTGCCCTCACCACGTTCCTATGTCGAATACCTCGGCTGTAAAGGGTGCCTCAACGTGCTTCAGCTAGAATATGCAGAGGTCTTGAGGTAGCTCCGATTTGGACTCTCGGTCTGGCACAACACTTCGGGATGGAGAGGTGAGTCCCAGCTGTAAGATTGGCCCCGCCCCCCAACAAACGCAAAGCGGAGACAGGTGGTCATGGAATGTGTTCATCGCTGGCCCCGTGGCTAGAAACGGCTACAGATGTCATCTTACTCTTTTGGACTTGCTGATGCGCCCCCCTCCCCTGAGCCTGAGGTTTGGGTCGGTGGAGAATTTTGACAAAGTGGTCAGCACCGACGTATCCGCCGGCTTGACGAGCCAACTTGGCCAGTATTCTTTCCCGTGCCGCGGCATGAGAGTAATCCCTAAACCCTAAGCCCTGGGCCCTGAACCCTGAACCCTGAACCCACCACCACTTCCCTCATGTCCTGGCATCATCTTCCATCGTCTTTCGGCTTCTTGGGGCTCTCAGAATCTCAATCCATACAGCCGCAACATGTTCAGTGGGGCGCTGTCGAATCAGCAAGCCGTGTCTCGAGGTACCGATGGCTTCTTGGTGCAACCACACCTATCCTCTGGGCGCAGATGGATATGGTTGCAGCCAGGCGAGGTCTAGTTACCGCAGCCTCGGAGGCTCTTACAGCTGAAGGCTGAAGGATGGCACAGTCGAAGTCTTTCAAGAGCTGTGGACCAAGCTCATGGTCCTCTGGATCTCAGTCCATGACAGCTCAGCCCCCAAAACTGAACAGGTTCAAGGCTGGAGATAACCACGGTGGTGCCACTCTGGCTGCAACGATCCTCTTTCGATGGAACACTTTGGAACACTTCACCCGCACCATGGCCCCACACGGCTGGTCAGCCTTGTCAGTTGCCGGCATGCCATCGGGGTTTTCATCGGAATGTTTTTCAGAGCCGCCTCCCAGCGCCGAGGTCGTGGCAAGCATTCTTGCCTTGGCATCCCGTCTGAAAATAGGTTTTTGCTCTTCTGGGCCATGTGGCGTAGGGGTAGGGGTTCAAGCAAGCGAGCTCTTCAGAAGGTGGAACCCGAGCAGCACATTCGAGCGCAGTCTCGCATGTTTCATGGCACTGGCAGTCGCCTTGCCCACTCCACCGGTGCACAGATAGTCTTTCGTGCGCAGATAGCCAGAGCTCTCCATTAGTTAAGAACATCATGCACCGCGAGACTTACCACGGAGAACATGACCACGGCACCGGCACACGGAGGGCTTGGATCTCGGCTGGAAGTCCCAGGGTCAACAGAAAGCAGTCTAAACCTTCTCCAGATTAAACTGTCTTCAAACGCCGAAGAAGTTGTAACCCTGGGATCCCGTTTGGATGTGTTTCATGCGAGAACCAACGTCGTGATCTTCGGGAGCGGCTCCAGCGCAGATGTCGAGCTTCATCGTTCTTTCTTCATGAGGCCATCTTAGATGCTCGCAGCCCTGCGGTTACTATCGGCTCATTCTTCTACAGTTTCTCAACGGGTTAGCAACGGCACGCATGATCTCGAGATCTTCTGGGCATTCAGGGCTTTGATGTGACTTCTTGACCCTGGGCCTTTTGGTTGGCTACAGGGTGACAGCAGGGGGTCAAGGCGGGGCTACAGGGACAAAGAAAAGTGTTTTGTCTGACCCGGAGGGATACGGGCTTTCTTGAATCGCGCGGGAATGGCCTGAGAAATTCACCTTCTGATGCTATTATAGAAAGGGGGGATTTCATTTCGGCAATCTGGTACTTCGGATTGTGTTTGGGTTCCTCGCTTCACCTTGTTTTGGTAGCCACTACGCGTGAGAGCTTGGGGAATCTGCGTTTTTCCTCAAACAGTATGGCATTCCAACGTTCAGGCTGTCGGGTAGGGAGGGTTCGCTTGAGGCGGCCTCATGGCGCTCACCGAAATTTTGCAGCTCTCGCCTAGGCACAGCGCTCATTTGGCATCCAAGAATCACGCTTGCGCCTAGGCCCCATGCATGCGCTCAAACGCGGAATTGGCGGGATCACGGCTTTCATGGTGAAATCAAAATCCAATGGCCGACGACACGAATTTGTGCTCTCGCCAACCAGTAGGTCGCATAAAGTGCTGCGAGGGTGGGCGGGTGAAACAAATTCGGCTTGTGCACTGAGTCAGTGTACCACCGTGCACCGCCAGCCATAGTGTTCACCCTCCACCCCTTCCTCTCTTCTCCTCTCCGCCACTCTTTTCTGTCTGTCTCTGTCTCTCTCTCTCTCTCCCCTCCCTCCCTCTTGCTCTCGATCTCCCTCTCCCTCACAGTCTCTCGCTTTGAGTTGTTTTGCTATAATGTCCGTTTGCTGTTGCACGCTGCTGTTCCTCCGCTGACAGAGTGCGCAAGAACCAGCAGCTGTTCAAGCTCGTTCACTTCGTTCAGTGTAGCTGAAGATTATGTCAAATTTGAGTGTTGGGCTTTCCGAAATGGGGGGTACCCTTGTTTGGGGGGCGTCCCTTGAAGCAGCTCTCTAGGAAAATGCATTGAAACGCGTGGAGACATTGGCCAATGGACTCCAGAAGCAGCCCAGGCAATGTGGCTCGTTGCTTTCCCTTCGATTTTTGTTTGCTGGGTATGTGCCCTGGCGCAAGATGCTGTAAGGATGTAAGGAGATGTGCAGTCGTTGGAGTGACCCAGTGCAAAGTGAGACAACTCAAAAGAGCGAGGAGGCTTATCAGAGAGGTTCATTTGCAAAGAAGTTTCCTCACCTTTTTGAGCTTCATCTTTCGGTCTCATGGTTGTGCATCGTCGAGCTGTGGCCATTGGCAGTGCTCTCTCGTGGCGATGCTCAACAGAAGTTTTTCTTAGATGGTCGTGGCACAGAGCATGAGGTTTGGCATCTATGCTGCGGAAAGGCAAGTGGATGATTTTGGTGCCTTGGCCCTGGTTCTTAACGTTAACATGTTACATCGGGCGGGGTGAGGCATGACTTGAGGGGGACTGCTTCTACCGCCTTCAGTGCGTTGCAAAGAAGGACATGCTTCAGACGTTGACGGCTACGGTGATCACTGTCGCGCTGGCGGCAGGTATGCACTTCTATCAGCTTCACGGCTTGCCCTTTCTATCAATTGCATCAGCCATGGAGTTGGAGATTGCTCTCCCTGCACATGGCCTGCCAACTGAGGCTTCTATGCAACCATCTGCTCCACGAAGATCATCTGTCGGGTGTCCTCTTATTCGCTGGAACATTCCTGGTTGCAGCACTTCTTGCGTGGCACCCCTGCGCGATGTGCCGCTGGGCGAGAGGAGTCGGCAAGGGAGAACAACCTGCCGTGGCTTCCTGAAGCGGACATGGCCGGAAGGAGGAAGACCGAACCTCCTGCTGTGCCGCTGGGCGAAAGCAGCCGGCAAGGGAGAATACCCTGCCGTCGCTTCCTGAAGCTGACATGGCCGGAAGTTTGAGGGCCGAAAGCAGAGGAAGGTGTATGTCTTTTAATTCTGAGCAACTGACTATCAGTCATTGACTATCAGTCAGTGGCTATAGGGCCGAAAGCAGAGGAAGGTGTATGTCTTTTAATTCTGAGCAACTGACTATCAGTCACTGGCTATAGGGCCGAAAGCAGAGGAAGGTGTATGTCTTTTAATTCTGAGCAACTGACTATCAGTCATTGACTATCAGTCAGTGGCTATCCCTCCCATCAGGCCAGTAACCGCAGTGCAAACAGGCGAGCCCGTGGCCACATCTCTTGTTTACCTCCATGACTCGGCGGGTCTTTCACAACTAGCCGAGTCATGGCCGGTGGTCGAGGTCCAGGGCCATTCCATAGTTCCTCATTTGTTTGATCATGTTGGGGCCATGTCCAAGCACCAGGGGCAGCATGGGCAAGCAAGGATATGCATGCGATCATTTTTCTTTCTCGGGAGAGCACCCTGGTGCAAGAGGCCTGTGCCATTCCAGCACGACTGTCAGTTCAACCATGCTCTCGCGCACAACAGGCTCTACTGCACGGTTTGTGCGGGGACCCTGAAGCCTGAGACGGCCTGGACATGGCAAAGTGACAGGGAATTGATGCTGAGTTCGGGGATGTGGAGATTCCAGATCTTCAGCCACCACAGCGATCTCAAGCTTCGGCTAGTGGTTGAGAGTGACTGAGAGTGTAACTTACACAACAAGCTGAACTAGATGGTGTGAGTGTGTTGACGCAAGCTGTGCAGGTCTCTGGATTAAGTAAGGAATCTGGAAATAAATCCGTTGACAACAACGATTGGAGTCTACGAATGCAGAGATCCATATCAAAACGCAGAGTGCAGTTGAGGAAGAACCTCAAATGAACGGACAAGCCACTGTCGTGCTGGCATAAAGAGCGAGGAGTGGCAGACGACGGAAACCAGCCGCAGCGATGAATTTGCTGCAGTCGACGAGGGATGACAATGCGTGAAGCCACCAGACCGTAGCACGGCAATGCGAGAGATGCTGTCCCCAGTTGACCAGTGTTCTTTGATGGGGGAGGGGTGCAGGCTGTGCGTGGGGGCAGTGAGTCGTGAGACCTTAATTTTGCGGCGCAGCGGCTGTGCAAGCAAAATCTCGTTCATATTTGTCTGCAGGCTGTGCAAGGCACCTCCCCTCCATTTCAAGTTGTTGGCCCTGGATGTGCACAAGTGTGTTAGTCCTTGGCGAATGAGCAAACAGGCCTGCCCGAGGCCTCGTTCTCTTCTTCCCTTCCATGACTCGGCGCATCTTCACAACTAGCCGTGTCATGGCCAGTGGTCGGGGTCCAAAGCCTCGAGCGCAGTTTTCACATTTGTTTGAGCATGTTAAGGCCATGTCCAAGTACCAAGGTTAGCAGCATGGGCAAGCAAGGATATGCATGCGATCTGTTTTTTGTCCTCGGGAGAGCGCCTTGGTGAAAGGGCATGTGCCATCCGGCACGAAAGTCAGCTCAACCATGCTCTCTCCCACAGGGTTACGGCAGGTTTGCGCAGGGACCCTGAAGCCTGAGACGGCCTGGACATGGCAAAGTGACAGGGAATTGATTCTGAGTTCGGGGATGTGGAGATTCCAGGTCGGCTGACCAAAGCCGCTTCAACAAAGGGTAGTCTTTCGTGACATCAGCTCTTAAGAAGCAGGTAAAGAGGAGGACCTTTTGTAGCATTCTGGGAACAAGGCTTCTGGATGGATGCTCGAAACAATACAAAGCATGTGAGGTCAAGGGGGGGAAGACTCGCCATAAAGAGACGCGAGGGGTTACTGCACATGCGCGCGCAGTGTATCAGCATTTCATTGATTAGAACCTCCCAAATCCAAATACGATGAAAGACTCCTAGGAAAATTTTCATTCTGGGACTCTGTTGTTTTTCGAGAACTGGTTTTGCAGAAAAGTTTCCTGCAATCCATCTCAGGGGCTGATGGATGTGGTTTTTGTTTGGTTTTGAGAAGCACTTTTTTAAACAATCGGTTAGGTCGCATATCTCATACAGTCGTTCGGAAGCCTTGGGTTCAGTAGATTGTCTCATTTGCGACTTTCGAGGCCAATTCAAAGAGTTTGGCCTTGTTCTCCCCAAGTGAATTGTCTATGTTATAGGGGGCTGATGGGGGCTGCTTGTACATTAAGTGTTTATAAATCCAGGCCTTTCGTGGATCAATTTTTTGGACGGGCCTGGCCATGAGAAAGACGCTTGTTGTAAGCCTTTTCCGGCAGCCAATCACGATTCCCACGAAGCAGAGAACTCACCTTCGATAAGGCTATAGGTTGGGATGTTCCCCCCTTATACTAAGAGTCCTTAAGAGTGATGATCATAGGAGGTACTACAGTCCCTATTAAGGACTGTTACTACAAGGGGAAACATCCCAAGCGATAGGATTTCTGATTTGTATTGGGCCCGCTCCTTCGGAAAGGTTTGTGATTTTGGGTCTCGTCTCTCATAGGAAACTAAAGATTACCCAAGTCAAAATGAATTACGAAGGAAGAACATCACCTGAAAGAATCATATTAGGGAGTAGTCGAGATAATGGTGCCGGATTGCCGTGTCATCATGTGTCATCTAAAGTCATTTATAGGAGGAAGCTACTTCGCAAGATATTGGATTAGAAAACCTTCAAGTCACGATAAACAAGGCTAAAACGCTCCAAGAACAAGGCCTCCAGTTCGTCGCACCCTCGGCTTTACAAAGAGAGAAGGGCCTTAATCATACTATGGAAAATAGCGTGCATCAAGTCTACCTGTCTCCCGTATGATTACTAAGGGTGCGGTCGCGAGGTTGGTTACGTTCGCAATGTACCCTTTGACCCTAGACTTGGAGATGAAGACAGAAGACAAATTTGACAACTGCATCTAGTTCCAGCTCCAGGTGTAAGACTCATGAAAATACAGGTTCTCTTATTAACATGTAGATGAAACTGTCCATTTCCCACGCATATAGAGGACCCCCCAAACCCCCATCCACCATTAAAGAAGTGCCAAAACAAAAGTCACGCTCCTGATTTCTTCTGACTGTTTGTTCCCGCCGTGTTGTGACTAAGGCCGAGCCTGTTTTTCTGGCTCGGCCCATCCCGTTTTCGACTCGTTTTCTCGACCAGGTGGTCGCCCGAGCGGAGTGACCGTGAATCCATGCAGGTCTCTGTTTTAAGTCGGGAATCTAGAGCTCCACATCAATCGCTGCAGAAGAAAAGGGGAACGATCGGAGGCTACGGAAGAGGCAGGGACCCATATCGAAACCCGCAAAGATCATCAAAGATCCCTATCGAAACCCAAAAAAGCATAAGATGTGGAGATCCGCTCAAAAAACAAACAGATGCAGAGAGCCACAGCGAGAACCATAAGCACGAGATGGAGAGATCCATATCGAAACCCACAAAAACATCAGATGCACAAAACCATAGCAATCGGCGAGATCCACCAAAAACCCAAGATGCCGAGATCTACCGAGGTGCTAGCCAAAGTTGAAGCCACCAGGCCGAAGCACGGCAAATTCGAGATGTTTTCCTCAGCTGACCAGCGTGCTTAGGTGGGGGAGGGGTGCGGGTTATGCGTGGGGGCAGAGAATCGTGTGACCTGAATTTTGCCGAGCAATGGCTGCGCCAACAACATCTGGTCAGCATTTGCTTGTGGGCAGTGCAAGGCACCCCCCCGCTGCATTTGATGTTGGCCCTGGATGGGCACAAGTGTGTCCCTGGGGCATGAGGGGCGGCAAGGCGGCCGCATAAATGAGTTCGTGAAATGAGTTCGTGTGCGATGCAAATGCTTAACCTTCCTTGCTGAGATGGTGGACGTGGTTATCCCGCACATTCCCACATGGTTATGATGCGACAAAACTGCCTCAGTTGCTTGAATGCTGCGTCCACCCAGCTCAGATTGCGGGGGCGGATGGCAAGGTGTGTGAGTTTTGACTCACAGAGGCAGCGCCTCTGGGTTTGCGATTCTTCCTCTGAAAGAGGCAGCAAGATGTAAGAACTGACAGCTCTTCTCGTCAAAGAACATACTGAACGGCCTGATGCTTTAGAAGGACTCCGACTTGTTGCCGAAATCCCGGGCTTGACTCAGGCTGTGTGAGAAAAAGAGTTGCGCCCAGAGCCCTAAAACAGCCTTTGAACACACTCTGAGCTCTGGGTTGGGTCTCGCACTGCAACGAATGACTCAGGGTGCCTTCGAGAAGCTTTCGAAGGGCAAGATGCTCTACGAGGCGGTCGGCGTATGTTTGGTTGCGATCCACATTTGCGCTGAGAGTGTGTGCCTCTCTATCTGTCTTTTTTTTCTCCCTCTCTCTCTCTCTGTCTTTCTGCGTGTGCCCTGTTCCCTGAGCTTGCACTGTTGTACCCGCCCATGGGACCGATCCTGTCTGATCCTTCGGGGCAGCCTTATGAATTCTGTTGATCCGATGCCCTGGTGTGTACCCATCGAGACGTAGCGGCAGTTGGCCGTTCAACCAACTCGCACCGCACCCTCCCCGAGCATCCTGATGGAAATGATTCTTTTTCAGCCATGTTCGACAAAGACATTGTGCGATTCTGCGAGCCATTTCCGAGCGCCCCGAGCTCTCTGTGTGAAAAAACACCGTAGGACCGCAGACCCGCAGCTAGCCTGTAGCATACCCGAGTGCCATGATGCCCGCAAACGCTCGAAGTGCTTTCCGTCCGCCAGCAGCTCGTCATGAAGAGGGGGCAACTTCGCACAGGTCTTGGACCGGCTCCGCAAGCTCTTGTTCACTTTGTACCATGAGCCCACAGCCTTCGGCTTGGCCTACTTCAGTTCGAAGCTCTTGAACCACCTTTGCCAAGGATGGGCGGCCTGCGTGCACGTCCTCTGGGCACGCAGTGAAGACAACACAAGCAGCGTGCTTAAATTAG